CTGGGCAGGACCTGGGGGTGACACTACAGGTCAGGCTGGGTCTTAGAAGACCTTGCAGACTGGATGGCCACAGAAAGCCCCGTCAGTGTCTGAGCCCTGGGGTGGGAGGCACAGGAGGGGAGGGGGCTGTGTGTGACAAGTGCCACCCTGGAGAGCAGGAAGCCCCAGGGGGTGGCATGGACCTTCTGGGAGCAGCACAAGGCTCTTCTGCAAGGTGCTGGTCCTTCTGGGGCTCAGAGGCATAGCTCAATGACTGACACAAGGTAAAAAAGTGTTTATGAGGAGTCAAGCTGGTGCTGGTGGAAAGGCCATCCTTTGAGACCTCTGAGCCCCAAGATGCCAGGGCTGCCCTCGGAATGGGCCTCTTTTACCCCATCTGTCTCTGGTTCCTCTCCAGTTCAGCTGTCCAGTGACCCCTTCCAGCCCCAGTGCCCCTGACACACCTTTCCAGCCTCAGTTCCACAACACCCTCAGTTGGGTTACCACTTTTCAGTCTGGGGTATTTTTGCTTATCCACTTTTTACTTAAACACATCTGTTAGTTTAGAGGTTCTTTAGCAGCCCAAGCCCTTGGTTTTCCTCAGCACTTGCTTTCTCTGGACCAGAATGAAGCTCTTTCTCTCCTGAGTGCCCGGCACTGATGTGTGTGTGTGTGTCCCCTTTCTCTCCTCCCCTTACACAACCCCACTCCACTTCTGGAGCACATCCCCAGGGGAGCTGTGACTGGTCTGTGCCCTCCTGCCACCCTGTCCCGAGGCATTAGCCCTGTCCCCACTTTGCAGCCCGTTATTTATTGAAGAGCCTCTCGCTAAATGTCTTCAATTAAACCAAACCTCTTTTCTGAGTTTTCTGTCCCTGCACAGGAATCAACTGAGTGCTCTGGCCCTGACCTTGTGCTGGGGGTTGCCCACAGACCCTCCTCACTGGGGCTGGAGGAATCCTGGGGGAGCTGCTTCCAGGCCAAGCCAGGGATCAGCTTGGAGCAGGCAGAGAGGGGGGGACAGGGCAGAGGGAGCAGCTCCTCCAGCACTGAGCCTGCCCTTCCAATGGTGGGTGGACGGTTTTCCTGAGCCCCACAGGGACTGGGGCTCCTTGCTGGCTGCCCCACATTTCAGCCAGGACAAAGGCCCCTCAGGCACAGCCAGTGCCCACGAGGTGCTTCAGCATCTGCAGCAGCACAAATGGCTGCTCCAGGCTCCTGCCTGGAGCCCTGGGGTGCATGAGCCAGTCTGGACTAACCCAAAACCTCAACAGCTGCAGAGAGGCAGCACCTAAGCCACCCCACAGCCCCCCTGCCCCAAGGGGCTGCCACCAGCAGCCTTGTCCTTGTCCTTTGCCTCTGGCCCCATCCTTCACCTCTGGCCCTGGCACAGTCCAGAGAACAAACCCTTGTGGCAGCAGGAGTTGATGGGTGCTCTTCCCTCCCAGCCCTACCTTCCCCCAGCTCTGGGTCCCGCAGGCTCAGCCTCAACCTTCAAGAACAGTCCCAACCGCTAAACTTTCAGCAAAGCCATTTATTCCACTTTTCTGCTCCCACAGATCTCCAGGTAGGGCCCCACATGAGCACCCCTAACGCCCCAGAGGGAATTCATGGCACAGCTGCCCTGTTGCACCAGCACCCCAAGCAGGGGCCTGGTCGCTGACATGGGCAGATGTGCTTGACCAGCAGCCCCGTCCCTCTGCTGTGCCCATTGCCAACACAGCCAAGTCAACACGGGGCATTTAAAAAATTCGTATGTTTTGTTTCTTAAAAATGGAAGGGGGACCTGACAGCAGCAGTGTGTCCCTGAAATCAAAGCATAATTCTAAGGCTCTGGCGCCCTCACGTAAGCACATGAACTCTCTGCAGGGGCTGTGCAGGTTGATCTGGGAAGCTCGCTAAGAGTTTAATGGCCATAAAAATAAATCGCTTTTCCCTGCTTCAGACAAACCCAGACCCTCCCGGCTGGGCAGTGGGGTCGCGTGGGCAGCCACTGCAGCCCCAGGTCGGAAAGAAGTCTCTTGGCTCACCCACTTTTACTGGAGCGCACACAGGGTGGGGTCACTCCATCACCTCGGCCAACGGCTGCTCTGCCACCGCGTCGGCCCCCAGCCCCGCAGGCTGCTCCAGCGCCTCGGCCCCCGCCAGCTGCTCCGCCAGGGCCTGGCCCTCCAGCCCCGCCAGCTGCTCGGCCCCCGCCTGCGCCATGCCCGGGTGCTCTGCCCGCTCCGCCAGCTCGTTGCCCGCTTTGCCCAGCTCGTTGCCCGCCTTGTGGCCGTGCAGGTGTCCCGCTGCCCCTCCCGCGTGGTCGATGGCCGCCTTCTTCGGCTTCTGCGTGGCGGCCACCGCCTCGGCCAGCTTCTCCTCCGGCACCATGTTCAGGATCTTCAGGGCGAACAGCAGCTGGAACTTGGCAGTTCCGACGAAGGAGTTGGCCAGGAAGTTGGGCAGCCCGCCCATGCGGTCCTTCTGGGTGTAGAGGGGGACCCGGACCATGCCCATCACCTGCAAATGCACAGGGCACAGCTCAGCAGGGCCACTGCAGCACCAGCCCCCCTCTCCGCACCCCCCTGTCCCCACACCCTCACCCAGTGCCCGCCAGCCCACAGCCCAGGCCCGCCCTGCCCCGCTGCCAGGTCCTGCCTTCCCTCCACACTGGCCCCTGCCCTTCCCTGCCCTCAGCCCAGCTCAGCCCCAGTGCTGCCCCTTCCCGAGCTCCCCCAGCCAGACCCCTGGCTCTCCCTGCCCAGCCCCCCGTCCCAGCCCTGGCTCTGTTCCCCCATCCTGCCCCTTTGGGGGGGATCCCGCTGCCCCAGGCCACTATGGGGAGTGTCTCTTCCCCCTCCAGCCCCTTCTCCCTGTGGGGACACCACAGCTGCCCCCATGTCCCCCTCACCCAGGCCACAACCCAGCGCCCACTGTCTCTGCTCACGCGGCTGCCAACACCCACCGAGCGCCCGGAGGGCGCAGGGGGAGGCCCTGGATCTCTCTCACAATGCCCCGGGGCTTCAGCCACATTCAGCTGCCCAGGAGGAGGAGGAGGAGGAGGAGGAGGAAGGTGCCCCCGCACGACCCCCATGCAGGCCGGGGAGGACTCGGGTCACAGCGACATCACCACACCGCGGTCACGGTCCGGTCCAGGGCACTCAACCCAGGGCGGGGGGGGATCCCCCCCAGCTGCAAACGGCCCTCGGCCACATCCCTTGGCCGAGGGTTACACGGGCTCGTCCCTGCGTGGGCTGACGCCAGGAAAGGCTGGAGCCGGAGCTCCCTGTGCTCTGGAGCCCGCGGCACGACCCCAGCCGGCTCCTATCGCCGATGCCTCGGGCGGTGCTGGCACCTGCCGCCGGCAGCTCTACCTGCGGTGCATTCCCCGGCCGGGCTGGCCAGGGCCGCCCGGCAGACCCAGGAGGAAGCGACGCCTTCCCTGGGCTAAGTGAGAGCTCGCACACCCCTCCCGGGTGTCCCACCTCCATCCCGTGGTCTCGGGAATGCACCGCGCTGATCTCGATGGTGTGCAGCTCCTCCAGGGTGAGCTGCCTGGCGTAGAAGTGTGCGACCACGCGGTGTGGCCCCTCTGTCAGGTGCGAGCACAGATAGTCAGCTTCCGTCAGGCGCACACAGCCCAAACCCAAGCCCAGCACCCGATTCAGACCGTCCTCCAGGGACCAGTAACGGCGATCCACGAACCCCCCGGGAAAGCCCAGCAGTCCGTCAAACCGCATCTGCATCTGCAATAGAGGCGCAGGGTGTTAATGGGGCACGGCGGGGCCCCCGCCGGGGGGCGAGGAGGGGCCACGGAGCCTCCGGAGGAGCCGGAGGAGCGCAGGGGGCGCCGCGGCCGCTCCGGCGCGGCCCTTCCAGCTCCGGCGCATCCAGGACCGCTCAGCGACGCCGGCCCGGCCGCCGGGGCTCTCCGCACCGCCCGCGGGCCCGGGGGCTCCCCCTGGGCTCGGGCCCAGCCTGACGCTACCGCCCTGCTCGGATCTCCCGCGGAGCCGCCCCCTCACCCACCGCCCCCGCACCCGCACCCGCGGCCCGGCCCCGTCCGCCCCGACGCCCTCCCGCCCCGCCCCAGCCCCGGCCCCGGCCCCGGCCCCGGCCCCGGCTCCGCTCCCGCTCCCGGCCCCGGTTCCGCTCCCGCTCCCGGCACGGCCCCGCCCGGCCCTCACCAGCACAGCGTAGCGCAGCGGGATGCGGCCGAACAGCATGCCCGGGTTGGGCGCGTACAGCATCGCGTGGCACGAGTGGCTCCAGCCGGGTCCGAGCCGCATGGCCTCGTAGCGCGTGAGCGGCTTGAGCTCGGGCACGCCGGGCACGCCGAGCGTGGGCAGCGGCGGCAGCGCGCCCATGGCGGGCAGGGGGCCCATGGCCGCCATCGTCCCCACGGCCGCCATCGCCTCGCGCCACCGCCACCCGCTCCGCGCACGCGCTGCGCCCACGGCACCGCGGGGGGCGGGACCGCCGCTCGCGCGCGGCCAATGGCGGCGCGCCGCGCGCCGCAGGGCCAATGGGCGCCCGGCGGGGCCCGCCAATCGCCGCGCGCGCCCGGGGCGGGGCGGGCGGCGCGCGGGCAGCGGGCTGCGCGCGCCGAGCGCCACAGAGAGCCAATCGCAGCCCAGAGCGGGGGGGACGGGACGGGGCGGCGAAGGGCACGACGGGAAGGTGGCGGGGGACGGAACGGAGGACCCCGCCCACAGCGCTTTGGCCCCGCCTCAAGACATGGATACGCCCCTCAGCGCAAAGGTCCCGCCCCATCAACCAGTGGCCCCGCCCCTCGGTCCTTGGCCCCGCCTCCGCAGCCCCCGCTCCCTCCCGCTCCTCCCCAGAGCCCCCCAGTCCCCCCTGTTCCCCGCCCCGTCCCCTCCCTGTCCCCCCGGTGCACTCGGACTCTGGCGGGGCTGCTCCACGTGTTTATTCCTACAAACATAGACGGGGAGGTGGGGGGGACGCGCCCCGGGCCCCCCCGCAGAAGCAGAACAAGGCACACGGCGTGGGCAGCGCCGGGCTCTGCGGGCCGGGCCGGGGGTGACCCCCGCGGAACCCCCTCCCCGCGGAGCCCTGCGGCCCGGCACGGCGGGGAGGCCACGGCTCTGTACAGGGGCAGTGACAGCAAAGGGCTGTGCTCGGTGTGTACAAAATATACATCGGTAGTGTCCGTCCTTCATCTGCCCATCGGAACCCAAAACCCCGCCCGGCCCCACGGACACCCCCCACGGGAAACACGGCCCCAGCCCCGACCCACCGCCAGGGAACATGCACGGGCTGTGCCGGGACCGTGTCCGGAGGGGCGCGGGCAGGGCCGGGGGGCTCCGGCAGGGCCCGGCCCCGCTCACGGGAGGCTCTGCTCGTCCTCCAGGTGCAGATGGGTCTGCTCGAAGAGAAGGGGCTGCGTGGGGCTGCCGGTGCCGCGGACGGGGAGCGTCTTGGTGTAGTCGGATGAACCTGGGAGAGGAGAAGGGGGTTCAGCCTCGGAAACGGGAGCCCTGGGGGCAGAGGAAGGGCCTGGCAGGGGGATCGGCCAAACCCTCCTGCCCTGGGCTGGCCAAGGGAGACAGGGCTGGAGCCAAGTGCTCCATCTCCTCCGATGCAGGTTCAGCATCAGGGGTGGGACACAGGACACTGAGGGGACAACACACCCTCTGTCACCAGCCTGGGGACACCAGCAGGGTGTTCACGGTGCCCACGAGGCAGCAGAAGCCAGTGGGAAGGGCAGGGGTTTCTGCTGCCCTGCCTGGGGTCCTGGCATGCAGGGACAGCAGGGATGCTGGTGCCAGGCATGGGAATGGACCCAGGACAGAGCCTGGCTGGTTTGCTGCCCCTTCCTTCCCTGCTCCATGGCCAGGACCAGCCCCATTCCACATTCCCAGGAGGGCTCCTGCTGCCCCTCACAACAGTAAAGAAGAATGAGAAGACGTACCAGCTTACTCCTCTATACCAACAGAGCAGGAATCAGGACCCAGTGCTGCCCAAGACAGGAGGGAGGAAGGCAGACAGAGAGGGAAGGAGACATTAGAAAGGTAACTCAGAACAGACTGCGACTCTACAGAAGAGAACAGGCTGCAACGACAACAGTCAGAGGTGAGGACAGCGCAGGGCCCCCCGGCACACGGGGCCCCTCCCTGCCGGGACGACACTGCCCCACCCCCCAGGAACTGGCCCAGATGCTTCCCCTCCCTTGCCCAAAAGCAGGAGCACATTTGGGAGCGCACAGGAGGCCTCTCTCACACAAAACTGCCAGGGAGTGGCTGCAGCCCAGAGAGGAGAAAGGAAGGGAAGGACAGAGACACAAGGGTGAGGGAGGAGGAGAGAGAAGGCGGGGCAAGTTACCTCTGTGTTACCCCCCCTCGCCCACAGCTCTGCCCAGGGGGAGGGAGCAGCAGCCCGTGCTCCGGGCAGCTCTTTCCTGCCCCATCTCAAGGCTGCAGCTGGAGCTGCCCGTGGGCAGGAACACACTCCCCAAACCCCCCAGGCCCTGGAGCCACGGGCGCAGCCCCGCAGCTCCAGCCCCAACGGCACGGCCGTTACCTGGCAGGAACACGTCCACAGGGGGGTCGCTCTCGGACCGTGTCAGGCTCCGGCTCTCGCCGCAGCCGCCGTCCTGCAGCACGTCCTCCACCGAGGGCGGGCGGCCACCACCTGCGGTTAACCAGCCACAGTACAGCTCCTCAGCCCCCAGCTCAGCCCCTCAGCCTCCAGCACTGCCCCTCAGCCCCCAGCTCAGCCCCTCAGCCCCCAGCTCAGCCCCTCAGTCCCCAGCTCAGCTCCTCAGTCCCCAGCTCAGCCCCTCAGCCCCCAGCTCAGCCCCTCAGCCTCCAGCACCGCCCTTCAGCCCCCAGCTTAGCCCCTCAGTCCCCAGCTCAGCCCCTCAGCCCCCAGCTCAGCCCCTCAGCCCCCAGCACAGTCCCCAGCACTGCCCCTCAGCCCCCAGCCCAGCCCTGAGGGTCTCCTGGCTGGCACAGGTGGAGATCTTCCACATGAGGAAGCTCCCCGGGTCCCCCCAGCCCCACAGAGGTCCCAAGAGAGCCATTCAGACTGGTCCAGGTCACAGTGCCAAAGAGCCACCTCTTCACAGGCTCATGGCCCAAAACGTGCCCATCACCCCTCTCTCACCCCGTCTCTGTGCCCTCTGGGTGCTGGCTGAGCAGTAGAGATCTGTCCCAAAGACATGGGGCACATCCTGCGTGCCCAGTACTGTGACTGTGCTCTCACCAGGACCCCAATGGTGCAAGGAAACAGCCCATGGCATGAAAAGCTCTACTTGTGTAGAGCTTAGAGCAAGGTGAGATGCTTGGCAAATAAACCAGGGAGATCTGTGGATTTTCTTCCCCCACTTCCCAGAAGAGACCCTGGCGCCTTTCCCTGGTGAAGCACAGAGGCTCAGAGATGGACTTTGGGGACTGGATGTTTCTGTTCATTCCCTAATTGTCCCCATCCCACCACAACAGCACTGGACACCAAGCCAAGGTCTGGCTGCACCCACAGCCAGGTTCACACCTACCCTGCTGCACAGGCGAGGCCTCCTCCATCTCTTCCCCTGCCACGCTCTGTAAGGAGGGACAGCACAGGTTATTTCTGCAGCTGGGGGCCTTTGCTGTGCCATTCTCCTGATCTGGCTTTCTCCAGGGAGCTGCACTTGGGGCCAGGACTTGTTCCAGGGCAGGACCAAGGGGCCACCCCCCAATGCTGTGGCACCATGGGCTGGGATGGAGCGGTTTTACGTCCCAGTAAGGTCCAGCTCCCATCCCTGCCCCAAACACTGCTCAGGACACCGGGGAAGGTAAGCTCTGACATAGCTCCAAAGGAGTGTTTATCCAATGCCTCTGCCCCCAGAGAGGGGTCAGGGGCACAGGGAGTGGCTACATCCTTCCCCATGGAGCCCCAGGGGTAAATAAAGCAGCCAAGGCTCTGAGCAATGGCCCTTCATGAGACACCTCCCCTGCCCCAGAAGCCCCCCCAGAAGAGCTCTGGCTCAGGGCAGCTCCCCAGCAGAGCACACACTCACCTCTGGAGAGCTGGTCTCCCTCAGGACCAGCTCACCCCCGCTCAGCGCCGGCTGCGAGTCGGAGTCCTCGGAGAGCTTCTCCTCATCCTCCTCGTGGATTGGGGACGAGGGGGACCGTAGTGTGCTGTGTGGCAAGAGAAACTCCATTTGCAGGGAGCCACCAGCACCACAGCTCCTGGAGGATCTGGGGCAGCACAAGGCCACAAGCAGGAGTTCCCTGAATTCACCAAGGCCTCCTGTATTGGCTCCATGGGGAGCGGCAGCACAGCAGGACAGAGCCAAGGAGTGCCAAGCTTTGGCACAGCAACACAGCCTGGACAAACCTGCCTTTGCATGGAAAGCAAGAGGCTCAGGTCCCACACTGCTCCTCACACCTTCTGGACTCCCTTCCTGGGGGAAAACTGGGCTGGAGCACAGGGAGGAATGCCAGGAACAAAACCAGGCTGATCCTATCTCTACAGCCCTGCATCCTCACCTACACCCTCCATCCCAAAGCCAACATAGGAGCCTTCAGACAACAACTACAGGATCTCAACTGAGCTCCTTGTGCTCTGAAATTCAGGTCACCTCTCTCCCCATTCTTTTGCCCCTGTGGAGCTCCATGGAAAGCTGAAATCCAACAAAGTTTGGATGTCAAATGCAAATTGAGGGACTAAGTGCATTGGGAAGGAGACATTTCCATCCAAAGTCTTCCTTGTGAGAGTGGTGAGGTCCTGGCACAGGTTGCCCAGAGAAGCTGTGGCTGCCCCATCCCTGTAAGTGTCCAAGGCCAGGTTGGACAGGGCTTGGAACAACCTGGGATAGTGGAAGGTGTCCCTGCCCATGGCAGGGGAGTGGAATGAGATGAACTTTAAGACCACTTCCAACCCAAACCACTCCATGATTCTAAGATTAAATTCTCCTTGCTAAAAATACTATTTCTTTTGGTGGCACAGCCAGCCTTTAGGAGACACAAGCTGTAACCTCAGGCTGAACAGAGGGACGATGTCTCAGTTCTCTCTCTGGCACGAGTACCTGCTGGCCTCCTAAAATCCCGAGTCAGCAGCGAGGGGACCAGCCAGAGCCCTCTCCTGGCTCGAAGTGTATGTGGCCACAAGCCCTCAGGGCTTGCAGGAGGAGTGTCCCTTGTCCCCATGCTGACCTGTCTGGAGACTTGCTGCGCTTGCCCTTCTGGTGGCCGCTCTCCAGGGCTCTGTCCATGCCCACGAGCGGGCGGCTGGCGGGAGGGATCCCATCCACCACCCCGGAGTAGCTGATCTCATCGTACAGAGGAGCAGAGGGGATGGAGGGGGAAACGGAGCGGAGCCCATTCAGTGCTTCCAGCAAGGAAATGGGCTCATAGCCGGGAGGGATGTTGTCAGAGCTCTGCGGGCAAGAGAGAGAGGGGACGTTGGGAAAACATCACCAGGCGGGAACCCCCCTGGAAAAGGGAGGCCCTGCTGCCACCCAGCCCTGTCCTGCTAGGCAGCCCATCCCCACAGCCACCTCTCCACAGCACCTCAGCTCCTTCCCCTGCAACAGCCACTCATTCCCTCAGGGCTGTAAGGCTGATGATGCTCCAGGCAAGTTTCCAGAGCACTGCCCAGAGACTGGGCATCCCAGCGAGCTGGATGGTGGCTGGGCAGCCCTCTGATGTACTTTCGAGAGCTGGGCAAGGAGAGTGAGAAAGTGGGTTTCCAAAAAGCTGCTATAAAATACATTTGGATTTTTTCTCCCAGAAGTTCCTCCAATGGTTCAGAGACCCTTCCAGCTCAATGAACACCTCACTTGTGCTTCCAGCCAAGGAACATGCAGCTGTTTCACAGCACCACCACTGTCACCAAGACAGAGTTGAAGGAGGGAACATGTGCACCAGCTGATGGTTCTCAGAGCCTACACCACTTCCACTTCTCCCATGTCCTCCCAGCCGCTAATGGTGGTTCCCTGCACAGTCACCTCTGCTAAAGGGCAGGAAAGGGATCACAGAACCACTGAACCTATAAGGGAGGAGGGAAAGCCCACACCAATTCCCATTCTCTCTGTAACTCATGGAGCTGCCAGTCAAAGGAACCCTTGCAAAGCCATTAAACCAACACTGGTTAAAAACCCTCCTGATCATAAAGATCCTGTGGACTCAGGGACAAATGGGGTTTATGCTGCAACCCAGGAGGCCATAAAGAGATCAGCCCAGCTTGATGCAAACGAAGAGGCAACACTGCATAAGTCCAGACTGCATTAAACTGAGCTGTTCCAGCCCTGTATCCTCAGGGAAGTGGTTCTAAGTTGTGCCTAAGATGGCACATTGCTGCTAAGCCTGGCCATGAACTCCTGTGTCTGATGTCCCGGTCACACAGCAGCACATGAGCCTCCCCAGCAGCCTGTTCCAGCACAGCCACTAATCTGGTGTGGGTTCAGTGCTGAACTGACTCACCTGTGGTCACAGGAGGAATTAGGTCTGATGGGAAGGGTCAATCATTGACCCTCACCTCAGTATTGGTCCTGTGCTGGTTTGAAGAGAACCAGCTCAGCTCAGCTGAACAAGGGATCGGCTCCCAGCTGCTGCCAGCTGTAGGTGGTGGGGCCAAAAGCCACCTCCAAAAGACCTTTCATCTCCAGACAGCAGTTCAGAGGTGCTATTTTGTCGACAGAAAAGTCACAGAGACAAACTCCTCTGGCTTATGCTTGGGACTTTTTCTCCTGCCTGTGCAGACTGGAGCCTGCAGGTTCAAAGGCTGCTCATTTTGGGTTGTTGTGGTGAAAGCTCAGGTTCCATGGCACAACTCAGAGGCTGGAGAAGGATTTCTCAGCCAATGGCTACGACACCCTCACTGCAAGTTACTGAGCTTTCAAACAACCCTAAGAGACACTGCTCTCTTCTGGGACACTTACACCACCCAGGAGCACTGCTGGACACTGGAGGAGGCTTGCAGAGAGCCAGGTCATGCCAAAATTGCAAGAGCCTCATTACCTGAACCCTGCTTGGTTTTCTCCAGACCTGACAAGCCCACCAAGCCACGTTCCTCGTAACACCGAGCATCTAGGCTGGCTTGAGCAAAAGAAAACCTCCTTGATATCAACAACAGCCATAGCTGTATCTTATGGGAGTACACAGAGGGCACAAACAGAACCTTCCTGACCTAGGGCCTCCTTCACCTTTCCCTTTCCCAGCTCCTGGTCCCCCACTGTTGCCATTCATGCTGTTCCCAGCACAGTGTTCCAGTTACTCAATCCCACACCAACTCAAAGAGTCCCCAGACACGACAAGCTCCATCCCTCCTGGTTCTGTAAAAGCAAATCAGCCTCTTGCAGCCAGTGTTCCTGAAGGCAAGACCTGCTCCAGCTGTGCCTCTTTATCTACCTCTACATCCCAGCACCGGGCTGGAAACCACACCAGGATGTGCCCACACCAAACTGCCGAGGGGATGAGACAAGTGCAAGGAAGCTTTTGGGTGAGCCAAGGGGACAGCAGTTTGCCCACAGTCCTATGAAACTGTGAAAATATCTTGGTCAGGGACCATAAATCATCCAGGCTCAGGACCTGGGGACAGTCCCTGAGAGCCAGTGTCAGACCCTTGTGACAAGCTGCTTCCATCTCGCTTGTTGTCCACAGGCAAACCAGGGAGGTCAGTGATGGTCCGTGCAGGGTGTGAGTGTCTCACTGCCATGGTGGAGGCAGGAGGTGAAGTGTCATAGCCCAGGCAGGGGCACAGGTCAAACCCAGCGTGTCAGCAAGCCCTGTGTGTGTGACTGCCTCGTGCAGGTGACACCGCGGGAGCCCAGTGCAAGCACCCGAGGCCACTTACTGTTCTTACTCCCCTCCTAGGCTTCCTGCTGGGCAGGGAGACAGAGCTCACCTTAAGGGGCTTAAAGGGACGCTGTCGAGAGAAAACCATGTTTTAAAGAAGTTGTTTCTTGAGGTTAGTGACAGGAAGAGACACTCAGCATCTCCTTACCTCGCTGCAGGTGACAGCACCTGCTTCCTCCACACACCATGCTCTGCCTCACAGCAACCCTCGGGCTTTCTACCCTGCCCTGTTCCTCAGCCCCAGCTGAAGGCAGCAGGGCTAAAGCACTGCAGAGGGCAGCCTTTTCCTGTGACAGCATCTGTTCCCACAAAAGCCTGTAAGATGATCTACATGTGGTTCTCCTTCTCACTTTGATCTCATGTGTCCCACCAGAGCCAGCTGTTCAACAGCGCTGCTCAGGCAAAGAGCTGCTGCCCTCACCACACTGGGGACATGCAGCTGGGCCCTGAGGCCACCAGTGCCACTCTACCCATCCCACGTTCCCTCAGCTGTCTCCCAGCACACTCAGGGAGGCTGCAAAAAAGAGGCCTTTCTGAGAACCCCAGTGCCAAGGGCATTTCATTGGTGTGATGCCACACAGATGTGTGGGCAAGTCAAACTGTAACTCCCCTGCCCTGTTTTCCCAGCCCCAACCCTGTCATGCCCAGAGTCTGCCACTCTCCTGCTGGGACAGGCTCCAAGAAATCTTATCAGCCTGAGGTTTCTATGGATTTGTTTCCTCCAATCTAGTTGTATCACTAATCCAGGACCCCGCAGTCTCGCAGGTTGACAAGAAAGGCTGCACTGCTCAGGAAGCCCTCGGTGCAGGGTCTGAGCCAACCTCCCGAGGTCCCTGGGACACCAGGAAGTGTCACCAACCATCAGGCCAAGCTTGATGCACCCACCAGCTGCCTGCTAAGGCCAAGACCAGCACCCAGGCTTTGTCCCCGGGGTCCCAAGGTACTTACAGAGTGCTCGTCATGGTCAACACTCTGTGCCAAGACAGGGCTGAATGACACCGGCGACAGAGCCCCCGGCTTCTTCCTCACCGCCCGGATCTGCAGCAGGGCACGGAAGGCTAGGAGGGAACACGAGGCAGGTGAGTGCACAGCCAGCAGGACCAGGCCATGCCAGAGCTCCCTGCCTTGCCACAGACACACTGTTGGCATGGGGCAGCTCCCCTGTGCACCCTGAGCACCCCAAAGCCAAGTGCTGTGGTCAGGCTTCCAGTCAATTCAGCTAGAGAGGGAAGAGATCTGCTGGCTGAAAAAGTCTGGGCAGACAGAGTCCTTGCGGAGAACAGGCACAGTCATGGACATCCTTCAGGCCTGATATTGTACAAGTGTAGAGGCCCAGAGAAGTTGCCCTTAAGGGTGGGTCATTCCAATGACACAGTAAGAAAAACATGAGCTTGGCCTTGGGAGTGCACTGCAATCTACAGGATGGGTGGGGGGCTCATGTAAAACCACTCTGGGCTCATTCAAACCCCACAAAGCTCAGCCCTGGGGCCCAGCTGGCACTGGAAGCACTGTGCCTGCCATGGGCTGTGGTGGTGAGAGGCTCTGCACTGGCTGCAAACCCAGCTGGGGGGTTAGAGCTGTACTCCTGCCTCCAGCACAGAGATCCCTTGGTCCTCCCACCACCACGGCTCTGATCTCCACCCCTGCCCACAGCCCCATTTTCTATCTGCAGATCTTTAATATTGTTAGTTCCTCTGTGCCAAGGGCGCACACGAACGAGCCAGACATCTGTTCTGATGCAGCTGTGAGGACTTGCCAGGCATTTCCCTGGTTCTTGTTGCACCCAGCCACTGCAAGATCAGCCTAGAGACAGAGGACAGGTACAAATACAACCTGCTCCCCTGCAGATGAGATAACGCTGTAACTGTTTTAAGTTGTGCCACTTATTGCCAAAGCTGTCTTCCTCTGGTAAGATCTTGCTTTTGGTTACTGCATCTTTGCCATGTTTGAACTGTTAAACTTAGTTTCTCAGGCCAAACATCTGTCTTAGGCTCTTTTTTTCTTTTCCTCAGAATTATCAGTTAGAAACAATCAAATACATCAGAGACCAGGCAGGGGGTAAAACACATAATCTGCCTATTCCAGCAAAAACACGGGCATTTTCTCAGGAGATTCCTATGCCTCTGTGCTTTTGAGAAAAGCTGTGGAATTCAGCAAGTGCTGACTGAGTGTAGAAACAGGTATTTAATTTTTTCCATCTTTTGGGAACTGAACAATGCAAGGGTTAAGCAGATCCTCCTAACTCCTGGCAAAAAGCAAAGGACTCCAATTTGACTTATCTCATCTCTGCCTCCTGGTGAAAGCAAAGTTATCAGAAGAAAAAAAAAAAATCACAGAAAGTATTTGGACAGCCCTCCAGTGGGGCTGGCTGCTGTCTGGGCCAGATACCCTCAGGATAAAGCTTCTGCATACCCTCCTTTGGGGGATTTTCCATTTTCCACACAAGAACTGCCAACATGGCACAGCTCAGAGCACCTTCACCTTCAGGTCCATCCCAGGGAGAGGATGAGTGGCCAGGGAGGCCCTGGGCAAAGAGCCATTCTCATCTCCAGGTGGGAGCAGCAGCAGTGGGATGCTGAGCCTTGGGGTGGGGTGTGTAAAACATGCTCCCTCTCACAGCCTGCAGTGCCCTAAGAGGGGCCTGGGAGGGAGGAGGTGCCCGTGTCTCCAGGCACACAGGGACTCACGGAGCCTGCAGATGGGGCAGTTGTTGGCCTGGTAGCGCAGGGTGTCAGCGCAGGAGTTGCACAGGCAGAGGTGTCTGCAGGGCAGGATGAGGGTGTCCCGCAGGTCCGACAGGCAAACCACACACTCGTTGCTGTTGTCGCTGTTCTCGTCGTCTGAAGGCTGCAAGGAGAGGGAAAACGTTGGCATGGGAATGGTCAGGGGTATGTCAAACTGCCAAGGGACTCTGGAGCCGGGGGAAATTTCCCACCCAAAAGTCTGTGGTAGAGCTGGCATCCTCTTTTGTCAGCTCTCAGTGGGGGTTTCTGAAGGAGAGCAAACTCCAGCCCACAGAGCCCTGCTTGGACACTCCTTCATCCCAGGGCTCTGCTCCGAGCTCCCTGAAGGCCAGAGGCCAGGGCACTGCACTGGGAATTCAGGGCAGAGCTGTCCTTCCCCAGAGCCCCTTTGGGGAAGGGATCCTCTTAGCTGAAGGGTACCAGCAACAAGCTCCTGCCTTCCAGCCTGGTGGCTCCAGGGTCAGCAGGGAAGCAAGTTCTTTGGCACTCCAGCCTTTCTTCCCACACTGAGAGCATCCCCACAAGCAGCTGGACAGGCAGCAGGTCAGACTGCCCCCAGGCTGGACAGGAGGAGGCACACCAGCCATGCCCAGCCCAGCTTCCACAGGTGCTCTGAACAAGTGAGGGAGTCAGTGGTTCTTCTGCACCTTCACCAGCTCCTGTGCTGGCACAAGCTTTGATGCAGCCTCAGGAGAACCAGCATGGGATGTTCACCTGCCCACAGCTACCCTGGTAAAAAGGCCTGTGTGCACCCATTCAACAGGAACATGCACCACACTCATGTGTCAGTCACTCAGAGCCCCACAAACTGGATTACAGACACTGATCTAACTGTTGGTGGGAGGAGAAATGCACTTTCCAACCACAAGACTGACAGCAGAAAACTCCACTGTCTCCCCACCCATGTCACAGAAGTTGTGTCAGAACCACAATGACCCAGCATGGGGCACCTCCACCTTCACCTGGTCCCACTTCACGAGGTCCCTTTGGTCACCAGGGCTAGAACATGCCACACCATGGGCAACCTCGGTGTAAACAGCAACTGTGCTGCTGCCACATCCTCACCCAGCCTGCTGCCTGCCTGCCTGCCTGCCTGCACAGGGCTGTCTGTCCCATCACACCTGCCCCTCAGGTATTTTGGGAGGGAGGGAGGCTCTTTGCTCCCCCATTCACACAGTTTGCTGGGTACACCAGGAAGAACGAAATGGTCCCATGCCACTTGTCTGATTGGGCCACAAATGTGTGATTGCTGGATCAAGAGAATCATTACAAGACCCTGGAGGACCCAAAAGGAAGCTTTCAATCCTCTTAAATAGATCCTGTGGAAGAAAAATCTTGGAAAAGACTTCTCCCTCCTGCCTCTCCAGGTACTGCTTGTTGGCACAGGCAGATCACAGGACACTCTGGGAAGGACACTGCATTGTGTGGAGAGGAAATCCTGCTTGTCTTCCTCTGTGGCTCCTGCTCTGTTTACAAATCATGGACTACACACCCTGGAGCTGTGTGATCATGAGACCAGCAGTGGGGACACTCCACAGCCCAGGTGGCAGCAAAGGGCAGCTCTAAAAAGGCTAAAGGAAGCACAAAGCAGGCACGGATCCAGCAGCTGGGATCCAGCAGCAGCTCCTGCCTCAAGATGGGAATGTTTCTGGTTACGGCATTTGCATACACATCCCTTAGGGATGCTGTGCTCTCTCTTGCTGGGGAATGCAGGCTGCTCTCTGGATACTGGCAAGCCCTAGAGAGCTCAGTTTTCTGAAACACTACAGGAACATGCAGAACTCCCAACCAGGAGAATGTGAAGGAGCCATGGGAACAGAGCACAGACACCAGACACGACTGCCTTGATGCAGGGAGGCAGCAACACACACACACAGCTTTCTACAAGCCCTAAAATCCAGTGCTCTGAAACATCCATGGGGCACTGAGGCCCTTCTCTCCCAGCAATCCCAGCCCCAAGGAACATCCTCAAGAGCCTCATGCTGCCTAAAATTATCTGAGCACAACTCCACTGACTGTTTAGGCCTTACACCAGTGAGGATCTGTCATCCCTGGTCCTCTTTGGTGCCTGCAGGAACGACAGAGACTTGACAGTCACTCTGGGAAGCACCTCCACAGTGCCCTGACAATCCCCATAGTTAAGCTCCAAAGCAGAAGGTGCAGGCTGGAAAGCCACAGCTCAGGAAGCATCTTTACCTTGGTCTCCTGGTTGTTTTTGTTCTCGATGCCGTAGATCTCCTGAAGCAGGTAGCTCACCCGGTCAACCTGGGGGGGAAGACAATAGTTGGAGTGCCAGCTGCTCTGTCATTGCTGTTCTGTGACCACCTTCCCTCCCTCCCCATGTCAAAATGTCCATGTTACACCCACAGCTTCCCTACAGCAACATGGAAGATAACAAACATCACCAAGGACAGAGAATGAGAGTGGAGAGTGAGTCTCTCCTTGCTCAAAAAGTAGTGCCCACCCTGCCTGGTGTGGGTAGAGAGCAACAAAAGTGGCCAGCTGGGCTATCAAAATAATCTAAAAAACAAGTACTCTGCTTGTCTCAGAGTATACACACCCATAGCTCAAACAATCCAGAGGCAATCAGCCTTCCACAGTCCTCTGTGGGGAGTACTGCTTAACTTTAACCAAGATGAACTTCCACCCATTTCTGCAATCTCAGCAGAGAGAGGCTGTGCCAACAGCTCCTTACTGGCACACCAATGGTGGCACATCACCTCCCTGTTCACCCCCTGGGAGCACAAGGTCAAGCTTCTAAGGACAGACAAACCATTTCCCTTAGCACGAGAAGCACTCCACAGACAGCCCTACATTAGTGCAGTGTCACTGACTGCCATCCCCAGGCCCTTGGTGGCACCCATAAATGGGAGGTGTGGTGGCAGAAAGTGCTCTAGGCACAGCTGGAAGTTACTCAGAGGGACACACTCCCCCAAGCCACGACTTCTGCCAACTGGCAGCTGCCTGCAAACCCCCCTGGGCGGCTGAACCACAGCACTGAGACAAGGAGGGCTGATGGGTCAAGTCCCTCTGCACTGGGGGTTCTCCCCTGTTCTCCAGCTTAGCCCTCCAGTACAGCACGAGATTCTCACAGTTGTGAGGAGCAGCCTCTACAAGGAAGCACAGAGATAATGGACCCCCAGGATTCAGTCCTGTTTAACATCTTTATTTATGAGGGGACAGAGCGTACCCTCAGTAAGTTCACAGACAACACTAAGTTGGGTGGGACTGTTGATCTGCTGGAGGGTAGGAAGGCTCTGCAGAGGGACCTGTAACAGCAGTGGAGGCTCAGGTTGGACATCAGGAAGAATTTCTTCACAGAAAGGGTTGTTAAACACTGGAAGGGGCTGCACAGGGAAGTGGTGGAGTCGCCATCCTTGGAGGTGTTCAAGGAATGACTGGACATGGCACTCAGTGCTCTGGTCTAGTTGGTCAAAGGTTGGACTCGATGATCTTGGAGGTGTTTTCCAACCTAAATAATCCTGGGATTCTGTGATCTGGTGCTACACAGCAGCTTTTCAGAGCAGGATGTGTTGCTTTGCCTGCACAAAACCTTGCAACAGGTAAAAGGGTTGCCAGGTACCAAACAGACACATGTCACAAGCAGGGGAAGGACAAACTTTCCTGCCATCTCCATGTCCAGCTGACAATATGGAGTGAAGCCAAGCCCCCAGGACCCCAGTGCTACAACAGCTGTCAATCCCAGGGCTCCTGGCATTTCCATGTGTAACTGGCCTCTCTCCTCTCCTCTAGTCAAGCCAGGTGCTCAGTGAGCAGTGGCTTTTCCACTGGACTCCAGTGCTTCCGAAGGTGACACATGCCAAGAAGGGGGCAGGAGGGAGCTGTATCCAGCCCATCTGCTGGTTCAGAAATGCTCTGAGCTGGGACATGGCAGTGTTAACACACTAATTCCAGAGTCTCCCCGTGTAACTCAGTGTGCAGCTCACAGACAATCTGTTCTAGGCCTGCATTTCATGGCAATGAGATCAGCTGTTGGACTGCTGAGCAAAACCCTCTGCAGCAGCTCACAACTCACCCAGGAAGTCTGGGGACAATTATGTGGGAAATGTCCTTTTGTAACTTGGCATTTCAAAGAGAGCCTTGTTACAGCATCCTGACTCCTTGGAGGATCACAGTGAGTGACAGTGTGTGCAGGAGTGGTCAGCTCAAAGCAAAGAAGAGGTCAGGGAGGGAGAGACCAAAGTCTCTGCAGGAGCCTGCGTTCCTTTTAACTGCTTTCCTCTAAAAATCCTGAGAAACTCATGTCCCAGCAGGGAAAGGGTGAGCAGTGCAACAGCTCTTACTAGAAAGAACTCTAGGTTTTAAAAGAGTAGGAGTAATTAAGAAGAAGTAGGTGATTGCAGACAGTGCAGTCCTTCACCTTCACCCTTCTCCAACCCATCCCACACCACGTCATCCTTCCGAAGGCTTCTGTTGCTATTTACAGCCTCACTGGATGCACACAGGAACCACTGGCCAAGTCCAGGTTATGTTTTTCTGCCGATCCACCTGTTTGTATTCATCCAGGCTGAATTTCTGTAAACAGGTTGGTACTTACACTATAACTGAACACAGCACAAAGCAGTTCAGCCCAGGGGCTGCTGCTTCCTGCTCCCAAAGAGCTTTAGAGATCGATGCCCACAAAAGGTACCCACAGTCCTGGCAATGGCAGGGAGGGGAAGACATAAGAAAAGCAGGGATGGCAAAGAATGTACAATGTTATAACATGGTTTACTCCAGACACAGACTCTACACCTCTGCTCTATGCTTTTAAGGGTGCAGATGCCATCTCAGTTTCAGTGGTACTGTGTGTTCTTTAACAAGAGCTTCCTTCTATTCCAAAAGCCACAGGAGAGAACTTAGAAATGTTACATTTTACTAACTGCCAACAAAAAAAAAGTACCCACAACTAAACACTGAGTGGGAAGGTTACATGCTCTGCCAGTAAAGACAGACAAGCACTCAGTGTTCCACTGCAGGAGTCAGCTAACCAAACCGTGGTAGGGTGGGAACTTCCCTGCAGAGCATTTCCAGCAAGACAGCCCTCCATGTGGGGAGTCTGCAGTGCTGAATGGAGAAGGATGCACACACTGGCTCAGTGTGCACAGTAACCCAACGCTGACTGAGAGAGCTCACACCATGGAAGCACTGGTTTAGAGATAAAAGCATTAAACCCCCTCCCTCAAAAAAATGCCAAGCAGGATAAATGAGAGGCTTTTCATCAGCTGACAAACACTCTGATCTGAAAAATATGTGAGAAAGAGGCGCTGCTGGCATCACATCGCTCTGCTCCATCTTCCAGCCGAGGCACAGCTCTCCTGGGTGTTCCCACAACAAACCTGCCCTCACATACTTGACAGACTCCCTTCCAAAACAGTCTCTGAGTCTATTAAAAATACTTGTGAGACCCAGATTGATCAACCAGCCAGAAGACTGTGCTGCAACACAGCCAAGGGGAGCACCAAGGAAGAGAAGGGAGCACAGATCAGTCTGGGACACACGGGGCTCAGAACAGACATCAGGCTGGAGTGGCAACTCCCACACCACTGGCACTGGGATAAAGCTCTGGGAGAGAGGGCCAATATTGCTGTCAGATGTCCAATATGGACAGGCCATGAGTCTCTGCACAGAGCTGGGGAGCTAGACAGTGAATTAACAAATACCATTTTCATATATGATTACTGACACTGTGGCTCTCTTCTGATCTGGGGACTGGAAGGTACATCTTAAAGCAAGAAGTGTCTTATTAAGGTACTTAATGACCTTCTTGGTAGTAAAAGGCTTTTTAATTCAGATCAGTAAACCTTAACCATCCATCACGAGCAGTCAAACATTTAAAGCAGAAACACAGCACACACCTAAGGGTGAAGGGATCAACCCCCGAAATCTCATCAAGACATTTAAAGCTGATCTTTGCAGCAGGATCACTACCAGAGTTCTTCTCAGAAGCTGAAATCCTTGGCACTCTTAGCAGTTTGTAGTTGCTTATGTATTTTTGTCCGTGCAGGACTGAATGGTAATTTCAATCCTGATGAGGCACTACCCAGCTTCTGCACATCACACTGGGATGGGATACAAAAGGGCAACATTTAGGGCAGCCAGCAGCTCACTGCCTTTGCTTGTGATATCTGAGCTAAAGAGGTGAGATCTCAGGCTCTCAGAGAACACCAAACCTTCCCACTGGGTGCAGTCAGGCACCGGTGGGACACCAGCAAGTCTGTAACCAAGAGTAGACAGAAAACAGGTACTTACGATCTGCTTCTGTTTTAAGGGCTTCACAGAAAAACTGCCATCAACGTGCTAGCAGGGCAAAAAAAGGAAACGCATTAAATAGCTGAAAAATTAAATAAAATAAAAACTTGATTAAATAAAGTAATTAAAACAGCCTCGTGCTCAGGGTTGGTGTGTGTTAGCTATGGGGAGGGGAGGGGATGTATAACCAGGACAGCCTGGATGGCAATCCCTCCCAGCAGAGTTAGTGAACAGGGTATTGGAGCACGCCTTGTCTGCTCCAGCGCAGAGTCAGACGGACTTGGCTCAAGTCAAACCTTGCTGAAGTGGTCAGAGCACACACAAAACTCCCCTGGCACACTGGGTGCTTTCAGGTTGCAAGCAATCCAACTGGGTGCAGACACTTCTGCAGCCAGTCCAGCAGGACTTGGCAGGGGATATTTGTTAACACCCGAAATAACATCCAGTGACAGAGCCACTCCCTGACAGAGCAAGAGGCTGAGAACAAGGTTTGTCCACTGGACGGAGTCAGAAACAAGTCACACGTGCTCCACATCCTCAGAGCTGTGAGCCTTTCATGTCCTCAGTGGCAGCAGGCACAGCTGGAACAATTCTGTAAACCCTGGTGCCAGGACTAGTGATGTCAGTTCTACTTTCCCCATCATCCTCAAGGGCCACTAAAAAGAAAGAACTCAACCCCCCTGCCACAGTCTAGAGAGCAGCAAAGGAGACTCAGGGGATGCTCCAGCAGAAGGAAGGGACAACAACATCACACCAAAGACAAAACAGTCCTGTTTTCAGGCAAACAAGTTTCTGCCTTTGGAAGAGCTGCAAGGTCAAACTACACAAAGGATCAAGGTTGTTATTCTGATCTTAAAGATACATATAAATAGCAAGTTACCAGGTCCTGCTGGTCTGTCTGTCCTCTGGGGGATCAGCAGTGCTTATTAGCAAGGACCTCCCCTGGATTTATGGACCTACACTTCAAAAGCTGCAATTATTCTAAGGATGGGGAACATATTTTAATCAAACAGGGAGGATGAACTCAACATGTACTCTGCCCTATGACTTTTTATTAAAAGTGAGATTTTAATCTTGTTCTAAGCATTCAGTGGAAGATGAGAAGAAAGAAGTGGCTGAACTATGACTATGAGGCTGAACTATGAGGGACTCCAGTGTGTTTTGTTTTTCCACATCAGCCAGAGGAGGAAGCTAAAATAACATCCCTGCCCTAATCCCAAGGGTGCTGCAGCTGCCCATCTCTAATTGCCAGGAGTAAAACTACCTACAGAGCCAGTGCTCAGAACAACCTTTCTAACACTGGAAAACTCATTTTCTTCACAGATCAAGTCCAACAAAAAGCAACCTAAAACACTTAAAGCATCTTCCAGCCCCATGGCTTCCTTAGGACTGATTGTGCTTCCCATGCCCTCTGACTCAGCTCTTCACTATCCACATTATCCACCTGGGAGGAAGAGAAGTAAGACCCGGCAACTTGGACAGGGATACGACAGGAACTGAGTGGATTGAGATACCAAGGTCAGCCACGTGCCAGCCTGGAAATGGGGAATTTCCAACGGCACAGCACTGATGCTGCTCCCCTCTACATGCCCAGCTCTGCTCCAGCATCTCTTGTCTCACCTCAGCACGTCACCACAAGAATCACCTGCCCAGGGTAGGTGTGTGCAGTGTTACCACAGCCAGACTCGTTAATTATGGTGTAGTTATGGATCTTGCAACTCTTTTGAGGGTCCAGTTATCATGGGAAGAGAGTTTGTTATCAAGGCTTGTGCACACAGCTTGGCTTGGCTTTACCATGCAGGCAGTGGTCACTACATCAAACACACCATCCAAGAGTAGTGAAGCTCACAGTCTTTATGCAGGATGTATCCTAATTCTTCCAAAGGGCTTGGCCCTGTGTGTAAGCTAAGGCCAAACAATGGTGCAACAGGGTCTGGACACAGCAGATCCAGTTCTGCCCTGGAAAACTGCACGGTAGCAGCCATGGACAACACCTTCCACCCTCTCCCCACACACAGGAAACAGCAGCTGCAATTACCTGAGCGACCAGCTCAGGTACAAATGATAATTACAGGCTGCACAGGAGCTGCTGCAAGAGGTTCCTTGTACTACAACACCACCCAGGAACGAGCCAGGACTCTGTTGGGCTAAGTGTTACATAAATACAAACTAATGACCCGTGGAAATGTTTACATACACAAGGACAAAGGGAAAAAAGAACTCATTTACCTTTTCAAATGCAGCCAGGAGAACATGGGCGTGACCAGTGACCTCAACCACCACTGCAAAAAGGGAAAGAGCAGATCTGGTTAAACCTTGTAAACAGCACGAGCATAAAAATACCCTGAGAGTTGCATTGTAGTCCACTGACATTTCTGAACTGCTATCTGTACTATTTTCATCTCTCCTGCATTTAAAACTTATCTTGTCTGGCTGATTCATCTCACTGGGCTCTGGGGTGGGCCCTACACAGCCATGCCTTCTTGGGTGCTCCAAACTATCCCACTTGGTTTTCAGAGGTTGTAAAGGGAAAGTAAAACAAAGCACTCAGTGGGATTCTGCTCTCCCCTTTCATTCCTAGGTTTAATTACCTGAACTTATCACAGATCCATCTGGTTTAACAGCAACTGGCAGCACTTCCAGCCCTTATCACTTTATTTCACTCTAGTCAGACATGCCTATAAAACATTTATTTCTCATACCAGCTCCGGCCACCGAAACATTTCTGCCCAGTTCTCTGACCTTCTCCCCCAAAGATAAACATCACATCTTCCCTCCTCCAAACTCAAGGGTTCCTTCTTAATCCAATAGCACTGAGAAGGGGCTGTCAGAGGTTTCAGTAGTGCATTCCTGGTCCCCTCAGCAAGTAGAGAACAATCTACTTGTGAGGTACAATCCCAGTCTCTCTCACTCTGGACTCTGCAGTTCTGTTCAGCTCCAACTGGTTGGGCCTTTTTGCTTAATTCTGTTCAGACTCATCATATGGAAGTGGGAGGCAGAAGTGGTGGAGGAATCACAGAGGGAAGGGAAGGCATGGAACCACCATTTAATTTTACTAAACACAAGCAGTTACAGGCCAGCTGTAATTTTCCAGGTGCTCCAGACACACAAGGCCAGCTCCTTCCAGGCCCACCAGTTTAAAAAAAAACCAAAATGCACAACAGTTTCCTCAAATCTTGCTCAAGTGTCACATATTTTTGTGCTGATATTCTTTCCAGGAGAGGATTTAAAAGCAATTGCTTTTCCAGGTTATTAAAATAGATGAGAGTACATTATTGGCTATGACTGGGCATGGTATGTGCATAAATGTATGCTTCCCATGCTGCCTCCTGTTCTATTTTTGATCCTTCTAGACATGCCCAACATTAAAGAGCATAAATACCTTGCCAAAAGTTCCATAAACAGAGGAAGGTGTTTTATATTATGGTAAAGAAATACACATATATGTGGATTTTACTAACAGTGCATGAAATCACTAAAAATAGATGCACTTTACAAGTAATTTCCTTTATGTTGCACTGTGCTTTGTTAGTCACATTTTAAATTGGTTCATCCAGTTCTATTTCAGTCTGCTTGGAAGACAGTAAAATAATGTAATGAGTTTCTGGCCTTTTCCACATCTACAGCATAAGAAACTCTGCAAGTGACTGACCTGAACAATGTGATCAACAATGGATTTTTTCCTTCCTAATTATCTTAAATTTTGTAAAAAATGTCACAGAAGTGAAATGCTGGTCCTGCTGATCACAACACCCCCCCGTTTCAAAGAAAATGTGACTTCCTTGTGCCCTTTTCATTGCTGACAATTCATGTGAGTGCAAACACATGGAGCCCAAAAGCACACAACCCACTAAGGGAAATACTGTCCAAGGTGAGTAACAATCTAAATATTTACTGGACTTCCCTCTCCGAAGCAGCAATCCACTTTAAAAATAATCAGCAAATAATCATAATTATTAATTATTTTAAAATAATCAGGAATTGTTTTTCCTCTTTTATTGCAACCATTCATCACCCTTGGAAAAAAAACAGGAGAATTTCAAACTGCTGAATGAAACTACATTTGGTTGAAGAGTGGCCTGAGCATTTTAAAGCCATTTCCTTTTCTCTGCTCATTTCTAGGTTTTTATGAGGACAACTTACCCCTCAATGAGGGAGAAAATACTCCCTCCCTCCTTCTCTTACAAACTGCAAAAATAAAACTCAAAGAATAAAGAAGTAATTTGCTCCAATTTGTGCCTGGCATTGGTGGCAGAGCCAGGAGCTCTCCTAAACACCCCTCCAACACCAAACACCTGGCCATTTTTCCTGTAGAAAATGCAGGCTATTTTTAGAAGTATGTTTTTATGCAAGAACTCATGGTTAGCCAGGCCCTTTTAATAAAGATTAAAGTTAAGGTGAACTCCTGAAATATTTTTGTTCTGGAAAGGCTCTCCAAGGAGCCACATAAGCTCAGAGGGAGACAGGAGAATTCCAAGGGAGCAGAGCACCGTGCTTACCATCCCCTTCATCCACCACTGCTCGGATGACCACAGGGAACACACCACGATCCAAGTCAAAGTTCAGCTGGGGGGGGACAGAAACGAGCTGAGGTTACACAGGTCACACCAGGCTTGGTGAAGACAACACTTGAGATCATGGAACATCACAGCAATGAAGGTCCCTTCTGACAGGCCCCCAGCCCCTGGCCTCAAATGGTATTTAATTCTCACTAATTCACATATCCCAAAAGTCTCCTGAGTGATTTGTAGGAGGACAAGTTTGTCAGAATATATCTAATGCCACAGTTTTGCCTGTTCATGGCAGGACAGGTAAGGCTTTAGCACAGCAGCACATTGTGCTCCCAACACAACAAAACAGACCCTGACTTTTGTATGAAGTTCCTGAAGAGAAAAATCTGTCAACCTTCAAGTTCACATAACACCTTAAGGAAACACCAGACTGATTTCCATCTCTTGGCATGTTACGAAATTCAGGTCCTTGACCTTCTAATGGGCGAGAGTGAAAATTTAAGATCTCACTTGAGTGCAAGGAAAACAGACTCAACTTCTCCCTTTGCCCTGCACTTCATTAAAGCACTTCAAAAGCTCTGTGTCATCTTAGAAACACAAGGAAAAGGCAACCTTACAGACACTGTCCTATGCCAGGAACGGAAGTGGCTCAGAGACTGGATTTCTGGTGGTTTTTTTAATTACTGACTTGGAGATTTTTGTCTCATCTCTTGCCAAGACTAAAAAAAAAAAAAAGATGTCATTTCACCATGGTGCTCCAGGTAGTCTGTTTTCGGTTTTCCCATGAAAACTGAGACCCAATTCCAAGTGCTGCAGCACCATCCAGGTAGTGCTTTGGGGCTCCCCTAAGTTTCCTGCAGCCCCAATATCATTTGCAGCGTGACTCACTCCAGCTGGTCCCTCAAAAGGTTAATTATCAAGGCAGCCACTGGCACAAATGGCCACCCAAAACACCCAGACTGCAGGGAAGGTGACCCTCAGTGCGAGCCTAATAGTTGAAAATGAATTACAACCTAAATGTTCACCCTGAAAGGAGAGACACCTGTACACTGGGATACCTGGTCAGCCACCAGCCAGGTGTCCCACAGCCCGTGAGCCACGTGGCTGTGCCTCTGCCAAGAGCTCCCACGGGAGCTGTGAGGATTCCAAACAGAAAGCGTGTGCTGGAAGACCCTTATGATGTGACCAAACCTTCTAACCTTGAGGAATGTCGATTTTCATCCTCTGTATGATGGTTTTATATTTTACTACTCCTTTAACTACCAGAATCTATTCTCTTTCCAAAACAGCAGAGTAACAGAGCAAACACAAAAATCTCATTTAACCTCTCAGGGTTTGTTACAGAACAGACTCCTTGAGCCACTATTTTCCAGCTTGCATTTTTGAACTGTTCTGGCACGGCACAGAGGGAAAATTCATTGAGGACAATGGATTAAAATAGCTGAAAAAGCTTATGGTTTTGCTTTGCTTCCTGCTCTGATTTATTACTGCATGACAGAAATTGTTCTTTGGCCGTTTGAAGGGAAAGTCACATCACAGAACTGAGGTTGCTTTACCTTATAAACTTTGGATTTCTCAAACAAAAGGCCTCTTTAAGGGACCATTTCACGTTAATTTTTATGGCCCTGAGCACAACTGGCTCAACACAAGCCATACTCTGTAACTTCCAAGCAAACCAGTGTATTGGGAAGACAAAGCAAACTTTTATAGAGCTTTCCACAGAACAGCCCAACATAACATTACTGTCCTTTCTGTGGGCCAGCCAAGAACCACGTCATATCCGAGTATTACACTGAGCGAAAATATGAAGCAAATCTGGGGTTTTGGGACAAAGCTGGAAAGAAATCTGAACTGTGCAACTGTGCACAGCTGAGTGTACACACTGTCAGCTCTCCCAGATAAAAGGGCTGCATTTTGGCGGCCAGTTAAGAAGATTTAGGACCAAGACTGATATGTACAGAGAGCTGAAATGGGAGGAGAAACACTTCCAAATCATAGTGCTCATTCCACATTTTCTCCAGCTCCAGTAACACCAATGAAAAAAGAGAAATAGGAGGATGCAGCAGAACAAGCAAAGGAAGCTGGAAGCTCATTTTTCTACAGCAACTCTCCCTTTAAGCTGTCAAAGGGACATGACTTTAGTACTTGAGTTAAAACCTTGCTGACAGGAACAAAAGTGAAAATTAAGCTCCACAATTCTTTTAAGAAGAAAGGGATCTGAGCTCCTGCTTTCCAGCTCTCTCAGACAACAGAAGGGATTGAAAAGCAGCTCTTCCAGGCTTTTGTAGGCTGAACTTGTGAAATCATCTATTGGCAGAGAAGACAAGACATCAGGAGACCAGACTCCGCAGGCTCTTGGTAACCACCACAGCATTTTTTAAGGCACGGGACTGATTATAGTTATAGCTGTAACTTCAAGACAATAGCTATTCAATCTTTCAAAATACATGAAAGATCACTTCTTCCTTCCCCCCTCCTTTTTTTTATTTTTAATTTTTCTTTTAAATAGGTAGTTATCTACCAGGGTTCACATACACGATACTCTTGCAGAGGTTTGGGTCAGGAATTGAACACTCTATCAGTGTTGATTTCCTGGGAGAGGGGTCCACAGGAACAAATATATTATCAGCAGCTACAGACCAACTCCTCTGCTTTAGAAATCTCTTATGACAATTCTGCACAGAGCAGGGGAAAGCCCAAGGCCTCCCTGCTCTGGTCACATGCAAGGGTGTCCTAGTTAGAACATCTGGGACCAGTTCATCATTGTATGGGTGTAACCCAAAACTGTGTATTCTATACCCTTCCATGCCATTTCCCAGAAACTGTTATCAATGAACCATTTACACCCTCTGCCCATAGAGCCTGACTCCTCAGGCTATAAACTAGGTGTTAAGAGGCCTGTGAGATAAGAGGATGCTCCTGTCCTCACCCCCTTTGTGGAGCTCCCCGCCCTGAGGGAAGTGCTGGGCATTCCTGCCTGAACTGGAGGATATACAATCTTGGGGTCTTGGAACTTTTTAACCACATCCAGAGGAAGACTGCAGACCACCACTCTCAACCAAACTGCAACCATCACTCTTGACCAGACTGCAATCACCACTCTCAACCAGACTGCAATCACCACTCTCAACCAGACTGCACCACCACCCTCACCAACAGGTTTTCCCCTCTCCTTTTACTTTGGACTCAGGGGGCCCAAAGAACACCACTCAGTTCATGCCCCAGGGTGCTGGGTTATGCATTTGGGTTTTGTGGGTTAAAACCAATTGTTTGTCTGTATAATCGTACTTATTGTATTATTTTATTAAATTGTTATTCTGATTTATAATCTCTCTTTTGAGTTGAGTTCATTCCCCCTGCTGGTTTACCTTTAAACCAGCACAAGGGGAAGCCCTTGGGCCAAAGATCAGAGGCTCAAGAAGCAGAAACTTACTGCCTTGCTTGGAATTTTGCAAAGATACCAAAGATACCAAAATTACCAGGACTCCAAAATTTTGCTATGTAGGAATAGCCACAGAGCTTAATTAAAACCAAGCCCTCATCTGTTTGCAGTCATGGGTTAAACAAAGAGGAGGACACCATTCCTTTATTCAGCACTGATGCACCAGTGTGAATCTGCCCCAGGAGGAGAATATCCCCTCACAGCACTGTACTGCTGCATTTAATAGTGCAGGATGTGGCCCTTAAACAGCACTAGAGCAGTGTACTCCAAACTACTCTGATCATTCATTACTCCCACCAGTAAAATATTTCGAGCATATATTCCCAATATATGTGTTTATCATTTATGAGATATATACATGTATTACTGAAGTTCTTCCTGCACCCCAGTGAATTGCCTCATATGCACCTCATTTTGGAGAACACTGTTCCAGAGGACCAGCCAAAAAACCCAAAATCTTAGACCTAAACCCCACCAAAACAGAGAGATTGAAACAAGTATTTGTTCCCACAAGCTCTTTGGGTGGCAGGGAGAGGAAGGCTGAGGAGTGGCAGGTTCCTCCAGGAAAAGCTCCAGTGCCAATTTCTGCTGCCTCTCTCCTAAACCAGCTGATCAGTGATATCAAAAGTTTCCTCCCTGTTGGCCTGATCTACCTGCCAAGTTCCCAAATACCCACAAAACACACTGTGGCAGCTGGGAGAGTGTCTTCCAGCCATAACTTCATGGCACTAAATGGAGACCAGTGCTTCTGGGACAACAGGGGTGTGGAAAGAAGGGGACACTGAGAAGAGACTTACCTCATCATCCTTCCACTCTGAGAAATCAATCTTGAAGGAAGGCAGGGAGAATTGCTGGCTTACCCCTCTCTTGTAATGAACCGTCTCCGACTGCAGAGAGGGATTCTTTGTGCTGTATCTGAAGAAAGGGGGGAAAAGAAAACTTGCTGTAACAAATGACTGCTCTCTGCCAAGCTCTCACTCACTCTGCCTTTCAGGAATCACAAGTGGCAGCTCTAAGGGCAGAGCTGGCAGAGGGGCTGGCAGCCATTCAGTGGGGACACAAAGAGGGAAGGGAAAGGTCAAAGCGAGAAGGTGAGCACAGGGAAGGGAAAGCAGCGCAGACAGGCAAGGTCTGATCGTGTCCATACTGACCTGCCTGGAAACACTAGGTGTCAGGAGTACAGTGGGGTGCAGCAGCTTGGCAAAGCCTAGCTCCCTAAATCCAGGGCCTGGCTTTCAGCCCAGCATAGTCCTATTTTCTGCAGGAAACCCAGGAAGAACCAGCAATGACCTAACACACAACCCAGCAGCTCTCCCGTGCCTTGTGGGATAGCTCTGCAGTGGGAAATGCTGCTTGGCTCCACCATCCTGGTAAGCAAGAGCCATTGCAATCCACCCCTCTGTTCCTCATGTGCTTCCCCAAGGTGCTGCAGGGCTACCAACACCACGTGAGAGACGCCAACCATCCTGCACGCCGGCCACACAGACAGGAGCCACGATTCTTCCACTGCCTCAAGGCTGGGATGAACATCTGGAAGGGGACCACAGCTACCATCCACCATCTTCTGCATCCAGAACCCATCTGGTGCTTTCTGCCCCAAGAGAGATGTTTCCTTGCCCACTACCCCTGTCCAGAGGGTGATGCCTGAGCTGGATGTGCACAGCCTCTCTCTGTGCCACTTCTGGCACAGGAGAGGAGGCAGCGAACCCCAAAGCAGGGTGGGAACATCTGAAGCTGGTTTTACCACCAAAGCCTTTCTTGTCCAACTACCAACTGTGTGCTCAGAGCACGTTTACAAACCAGAGAGAATGTGAGAGATCCCTTGCCCAGGAGACTTACACTGCAACAACAGGCTCCCTCAGCACGGTGACAAGATGCACAGCACAGTGATTGGGATGCATTTTGAAGCTGAAGGTATAAGAACCTGGATACCAGGAGATGATGAATATTTATTAATTCCTCTCAAAGTCGAGGAGGAAAAACCAGGCTCCCCACTGGCATGAACTGCTGCCTTTCTCTGGAAAGCCAGAATAGTTCCTGTACCCTCTTGAGGGTCCAGAAGGCTTATCAAGTGTCACAAGATCAACGTTAAATTCTGGAAGGCCGTGACAAAGGGCAGGTTCAACATGTGCACTCTGCTCTTCCTGCCAAGGCAGGTGCATTATGTTATTTATGACAACACCCTCAAAGCCCATTTTGTACTGTGCTGAAATTATGCTGTTTTACTAGAAGGTCTCACTCCATCCTTTGCATTTCAAGCATGGTGTGGGAGAGATCAGAATGACAGGTCTTTTATATGTGAATTACAGAGCGAGCAATTGAGTGAAGTTTTATTTACTGAGTTGTCAAGCACAATGAATAGAGCAAGCCTGTATCTGGCTCCTTTTGTGGCACTCTCAAAGCTCCTCAGCTCTGCAGAGAGGCACAATTCTCCCTCCACAGCTGGGAAAGCAGAGGATGGAAAAGTGACTTATCTGAAGTGACAGCAAGTCAGGAGCTTACTGGAAATGAAGTGCAGAGGAGAGAGTGGAGCTGGGAAAGGGGTGTAAAGAAGCTGCTGCTGAGTGCTAGGAAGGCTGGAGGACCTGCACTTACAGCACTAGAAGCCCAAACCACTCTACAACAGGAAAACAAATAACATTATTCCAAGGAGGACAGGGAATAACAATACTTGCATTGACTTGCTGCTCTCACTATCCCTGGGAAGAGGAAACCAGGCACACAGATCTTCTGAGCTCAAGAGTATGACCAAGCTATTAAGGAGGCCTCCCCTAGTGAACCAAGTGAGCTTTATGCCTTGGACTGTGTGACTGCCTAACACAAGTCAGACTTGATCTGAGCACCCCGAGACAACTCTGGACACCTCCAGTCAGCAGCCAGAGCTGAGGCTGCTGAGCACCAGTGGGCTGGTGAATTCCCTGGAAGTCTGGTGAGCCCAGACTATCCCAGAGATCAATCAGCTTTCCAAGGTGATGCACAGGTTCCATGCACAAGCACACACTCCCTGTGCTGCACAGGAGGACAATGTGGCAAGCTGTTACAAAGCAAGCGTCCTGCACAGCAGGGTCTAAGTGGCATCTGCCCATCCCCAGCCCCTTTGGTTGGCATCTGCTGTTTTTATAATCTTCTATTCCATGCCTGATCTGCTGGGGGCTCACAGTAAACAGTAGCAGAGAAGCTCTGCAGAAATGTTACAGAAAAAGAGAGCATGTATTAAAGAATGAAGGACAGCAGAGGAGTAACACATTGCCTCTCCTTGCATAAAGACTGAGAAAGCTGAATGTTTGAGCTGCTATTGCTCAGACTGCACTGGGCCAGGCCTCCATCCAGAGGGACTTCCAAAAAGAAACCCCTTGGGATCACTGGAAGGTCAGGACAGTGGAGAAGTGAGTGGGATCTGTCCTGTTAGGTCAGGACCAAACAAAAATCCTCGGTCGCAGTATTTTAGACCTGTTTGTTTGTTTGTTCAGGTACCCCTGACAGCATGAGAACCACCAGCAACACAAGGTACACGTGCTGACTGCAGCAGCAGCCCCCAGCTCTGTCCTCAGGGCTCATGCAGCACAACTCCTCCTGTGAGCTGTGTGACACACACAAAGCAAAGTTTACACTCTGCACTGACTCCTTCCTCCCCCATGTCAAACCCTTCCACCCCCAAAACCAGCTGTGTATCACAGAACCAGCAGATGAGAGGCCCTGTGACCACACCCCAGTGATTTTTGAGAGAACAGGAACAAACTAAAATTACTCCTCAGCCTCTCTCCTCCAGCATCAGCTGAGCAGCACTCGCTGCCTGCACGGAGACACTCAGCCTGTGGCTTCTCCCTGTGCCCAGTCCAGACCTGCAGACCCTCAGTAGCTCCCAAGCCATGTTAGAGTTTGGGAACCTCTGGCTAAACAGAGTTAAACTTCTGTTGCTACATGCTCACCAGAGACCCAACATAAATTTGGGGTGAGTTTCCCCCTCTCCCTCATCCTTGATCAGCACCTGGGGAAGTTCTCAGCAGGGCACTGGTCCAGACCCCTCACTGCTGTGCTCCTCCTGCTCAGCTCTGCCTGGTACTGGGGCTGCCTTGGGCAGTCAAAGGGCAGTTCCTGCTCCTACAGGCACACCAGGACCTCAATGAGAAGCACCACATGAGGATCCTTGCCAGCCTGCCTGAGTTACACAGAGCACTGTCCAGGCTCTGCTCCTCAGGGAAGGCAGGATGTATGGAGCAATGCTGCCTCAAGGTAACACTTCTGACTAGAAACATCTGAGGGAGTCTGTGCTTTGAAGAGCCTGTGGACAAAAGAAGAGTCCTCTCTCTTTAGTAGCAGCTCTGCATGTTCCATGGCAATTTCCAGTGAAGAGAGGACAAGGCAGGGTTACATGAGAGCCTAAGAGGGTACTCAGGAACCAATTCTTCCATTGCCACTTCCACTGCCTGGCAGGCTCCATGTCCTCTTACAGGTGGTGAGGTATGAGCCAGTCATGTCCTGCTGGTGTTCTAAGGGGCCAGGAGTTGATGAGGAACAAGCACACTCGCCCTCCTCTCTCTCCCACCTGCTCACTTCCCTTTCATTTTGGGCCAGGATCTCACAGGTTGCTTTTGGAGAAAAGGAAGTTGAACAAATGTCTCAACTCAAAGTGATTTTTATTGATAAAAGAAACACTACCAAACTACGAGAAGGCCATAGCCCTGGGTCTCAGTCAGAGTCAGACAAGATCTGCCCCAGAGAGGCTCTCACAAGGAGTTTGGAGGTTAACCAGGTGCTAAGATGCTGCACTGCAGTCCCTGGCAGCCTTCTCCTCCCCTCCTGCTTCCTCCAGGACTGAGTTTTCGCTCTGAGCCAGGAAAAACCAAACACCTCCTCATGCAGCTGAAACCCTTCTGCCCATACCCCACTCCAGCCCCTGCAGAGCTCTGCCCTGAGCTGCTGGGAGCACAACACTCCCAGCTTCAAAGCTCACCCAACAGTACACAGAAAGGCACAAAGGCCACAAACTCCAATTACTGGCAGAGGGTTTGTCTGCTCCGTGAAATCTATAGAATTTGGCTCTCCAGCCCGTGAACTTTGCACACCACAGTGTTCCCCTGGGGACTGGTGTGGGCCTGGATCAAAGCTGTAAAGGCTTGTGCCGAGCACAAAAAAACCAGCACTCGCCTCTGACTTCTCCACACAGAAGAAATCTCTTCACAAAGAATTCGTATTAATCACCACAGCCCACGGCCAAAAGCAGCAAGAGCACCTTTCAAAGGCCCTGAACAGACAGAGGCTATTAAATAACCAAAGGAATATCTGAGTCCCTCTGTGTCTCCTACGCAAGCCTGAGTCAAAACAGCCTTGCACTGAGCTGGATTTCATTTTGTGACCCAGCTCTTCAAACTTCCACACGCAGAGAGAACAGGGAATCATTGCAGTGTCCGTGCACTGCAGTGGTCGTGGGAGGATGTTTGGGATGAGTGTGGTGGGCACTGCAACACAAACAAGGAAATGGGATTTCTTTTTTTAATATATCCATTTGCCCATCAGCATCACAAACAGCCCAGCCCTGAAAAGGGCAGGGATTGCAGAGCTGGACCGACCTATTTTCATTCTGTTTTCTCTTTATAACGAGAAAATAGAGCTTGGCAACATTACTGGGATATGGGAGAGAACCTTTTCTGTCCAAAAAGGAAGATCTTTTTCAGAAGAATGGGCTGCAAGACTCAAACCTCTCACGTCATATTTATCATGAGCTGCTGATCTGCCTGGATTGCTCATGCCTTTAGAACTGGCTCTTTTAAGTGCTTCCAGCTACAAGGGTTGGTTTGAATTCTTCCCCCGAGGAAACAACCGCTGCTGTCATGTTTGAACTACGCAATCCTTCCTGCCAGTCAGCAGGATACCTGCAGCTGGAAGAGTCCCAGGGGCCCTCCCAGGAACAGGCTAACAGTGTGCACATCAAGGCTTTTGCCAGAGAAGGAAGGGATGCGTTCACAGAGCGCTCACAAAAAGAAAATACGAACATCTCTGAGCCTGCTCCAAAAACACACTTGTCTCCTAACCCAAAGACATCTCAGGGTATGAGCACATGAACCAGGTACTGCAGAAGGCAGGCTATGAACTGGGAGTCCTTTGATTATTCTCTACAAGCCCGGCAATGGAAATGCAATGCAGTCCCCTCTCCTCTGGAAAGAAATCACATGCTTGGGGCAATCACTAGTGAGTAGTCAATGTACAGTTCACATATATCCATGTTTTTACCAAATTCCAAAACCAAAGAAAATGGACGCAATTGGAAAAATAAATAAAACTGAAGGTATCAAGGGCCTTGAGCTGTTTAGAGGCAGGTCAGTGCTAATTCCATGCCATTAAAGAGACTCTGGACATAGGTAGATCTCTGTTATCCTTGGGGTGATGAACAAGCTGGTCCTCTGAGAACTCGTGTTTTACTCTTTAAATTCTGACCACAAAGGAATCAAGCAAAAGATATTTTAAAGGTGAGAGCAGCAGTCCCCTCCACATATAAACAAATTCTCATTTCATCCAAGAGGCTTTTACAGATACCTGCACTAGCACCCGAAAGTGCAGGGGACCTTCCCCTGGGCACAGGGCTGGAGAGGTGAACACACCTCTGTGATCACCAACACCACACATTCATCTTCATCAGACTCTACTGGTCACCTGTGGTCCCACAGAATTGATGACACAGCTCCCTGTGAAACTCAGAGTTCAACAGTTCAGGACTAGAGGCAGCAGCCGTTGGGAGCTCCGCGTTCCCAAGATCTCGGCTAGAAACAGCAGAGCAGAGCAAAGTTACCTGGGAAAGTCTGCTGGACACTCCTCTGGGACAGGTTAGCACAGGCAGCATGGAGTGATAAAGTCACCAGCTTTTAAACAGAGCCCAAATAACTCCAGGAGGAAGCTCCCTGGCTTGCAGAAAGGATTCCCTTTGGCCACGGACACCAGCTAATCCCAAAGGCACAGCTTTGTGGCTCTCAGGGGAGCAGAAGCTCCACAGCAAGCAAAGCCTCTGCTCAGGGAGAGCCACCTCCCCTCCCTCCTCTCCCCCCAAACTGCACGACAGGTTCCTAGCAGGAGTTTCTAAGGAAGGATCGCTGATACTATCAGGATCAGTGGCTGTTCCAGCAGAGAAGCAGGAATAACTTGTTTAGCACTTCTAAGGAGCCATGCTGCAGGATGGGAGAAAATTCCTGCTTTTCACAAGGGTCCAGAAAGTTTCTCCCATTTTAGGATTTAGCATCGATTTAGGAGAGTGGAAAAAAAAAAAAGTACTTTGTTTTAAAGAGCATCTTCATCCCAATCAAGTGCAATAGAAAAAGTTTTGAATTTATATGCAGTACAGCTTTTGCACATGCCTGTTCCTTGAATGTAGCACCAAAAGAAATTGAGGAAAAGGAAGATCTACCTGCCCAGGCAGGGAAAGCTGCATTCCTGTTAGTGCACTGAAAATGCACTCGCTCCACTCAGAGCTCTAAGAATGCAGCCCGGATTTTTTTTTTCCACCAGAATTTGAAAAGAGTAAATCAAAGTAATTATAGCACTGCCCTTACAGAATTGCTTTGCAAAGCTGAAATCAGAGCTTCAAAAGGTTTTTACTAGCAGCCAGCAAATCCAGAGAAGCAGAGATGCCTACTTGGGCAGCTGCACTAGCCCCAAGACGTGCTTCAGGAGCCACTTCCACATGGGAAAATAGCCTGGGTTGAATTAAAGCAGCTTATAAAGTCTATATTTGTATCTCACTTCCCCCAGCCCTTATTACCTACACATCTGCATGAAATCAGGATCATGCCTTCCAAAAGGTTCCCTGGCTTCTGCACCCCACACTTGTGTAACATTTATTGTCTGAGAACTCCAGGGCAGAGACAGACAGTTCATCACTCCTGTACTATCGGGAAATGAAACTATGATTTAATAAACAAAGGGCCAGCAGTGGAAGCAAGAGCTGAATGTGGGTGCTTTGGCTTTTGAGAAGGTTTAGTGCACCAGGGGCTGCTGCCACCCCAGCAGGGCAGCACAGAACCATCAGCCACACATTGCTAGTGGGGAAATCATTGCTGATCCTGGTTTCATGCAGAGGGTTCATGAACACAGGCTTCTCCTCTGCCATCTAACAGAGATCCCTCTCTCAGTAAACCATGGACAGGGTGGATCAAAAATTTGTATTTAAAAAAAATTCTTTTTAAGTTGACAGATGTGTTACCTTTCAGAAACTCTACCTAGGAATTGTTCAAATTTCATTTAAAAGCCATTGGGTAGCTCGTGTTTGCTGCACAAGCTTTAAAGAACAGACTGGTGACAGTCACTGGCTCAGTGCATGGCACTAAATTTCAGGAAAACGTGTTCTTAAGTGAACCAGAAACTGTGTTTTCCCCCTCCAACCAACCAACCAACCAACCAAGTTCTGAGGGGAGAGCTACTAGTTACAGAGGACTGAAAACACACTCTGTTCAGAAACAGTTATATTTGGTAACTAAAATACTTCCATTAAGCAATTATTATCCAAGGCACAACTTGACAAGACAGTTTCTTAAGAGTCCAGCACAAGCAGTTTAACCAACGAGCAAAAACTGCTGGTCTTGGGTGGTTCAGCTGCAATTCCAGCCCAACACTGCCTGGTTAAAAAAAGAATAAAAGATGTTTCTTTTCAGAATAACTTCGGGGTTTTGCCATTTTGACGTAAAATGGAAAGGTATAAGCCTGAAAAAACAGATTTTAAACTACATGGATATTCTGTAGCACAAAAAATGTAGCACAAGGTTTGACATGAAGCTGACACCGAGTTGTAAATGCGGATGTTTCATTGTTAATGACCAGTGACAAATTCTCCTTCAAGGTGAACCAACAGGTGAATGTGCAAAACAAGATTAAAATCAATGATTTAAGCCAAGCCTTGCTGATTTGAGTCGTGGCTGAAGTCTGGCAATGTAAATACATCCACCCTGGCCATAGAGACCCTCAGTTCTCCCCATTAGCCCATGGATTGTTGCCCTCTAAGGTAAAAAAACAAGGAGCACTGCAGGGCAGCACAAGGGACACTGGCCACCTCTCCACGTTGTACCTGTGTTAGGAAAAGAGGACTTCAATCTCCAAGGCTGCCATTCCAACACCTTCACTAGCACTAAATTCACAGGAAACCTAAGGACCTAAGAGACAGAACATGGAAACTTTATCAGGATTTCTAAGGCATCCTGCTGCATTCAGCTCTGCTCAGGAAAAGCTGGATCTAAACAGAAAGTGTTTTCAGAGTTTGTCAAGAGATATTTTCCAAGCACTTTAAAAGGAGCTCATTTATTACCTCCCCAAAACAGAGGTAGCCATAGGCTTCAACAGAAGAAGGGAAGGGAACATTCTGGATCAGGATATCCTCCAGTTTGAAGGAATGCACATGTGAATTGGAGAATTGAGCTTGTCTCATTTCTAAAAATACACTGTTCATTGAACATTAGTGGGATATTTATACTTTGCATGAAACATATAAGCCATTTTATGGCCTGCCATACATTCTTCTCCCTGCTGGAACCTCTGCAGATCCCTTCAGTCGAGGATAAGTTCAGCCCCAGCTCCAGAGCATCACTGCAGAAGCCATCAGCACTACGTCCAAGAGCCGCTGCTCAGCCAAAAGCCTCTACCAGAGGAAGCCAAGAGCTTCTGCAGCCTGAACCTTCCTTTGCCCATGGAGCAAATGGAATCCCTTGTCCCATGGCCACTGGAAGTCTGCCATTCCATACCAGCAGCTCACGTGTACCCAACTCACACCAGGCAGAGCACATCCAGCCACCTCTGCTCTTAACATAGAGAGGAAGTTTTTCATGGGATATGGTGTTGACTGGAATGGTTTAAATGTGCTGATTTAGATTAAAAGGGTTTAAAATCTGCAGGGATGTACTACCAGGATATGAGAAAGACCCCACAGATGACATTTTGACCATTCTTTTCACAGCTAACCCAAGGTGTACTTGGCAGGAAACATGGGGTTTCAGGGAGTAAATCCTCTCCCATCTCCCAACAGCCTGTGTTGAGGTGGCCATTTATCCCAAAAGGGGCTTTGGGAGGGCTTCAATTCTACAGACTCACTCTGTAAATGTCAGACTGACCTTTACTTTGGTGGCCCACATGCAGAAATGCAGTGAATTAGGTGATCTGGGGAAAAAACAGGTGGTATTTGAAGGGAAGGGATGGATTTTTTTAATTTCATAGCACATCCTGCTGACAGAACACACAGTTATGAGTTCCTCTCCTTTGCTGCACACAGAATACTTTCCCTACACCCTAAAACCAAACCAAAAGGGGAACAAGACAAGGTATTGTCTATGTGAGGGAAGTGAAAGTAATAAGTTATCAGAATATATAAAACCAAACAGAAAAGGAGGAGATTTCCCTCCCCACCATCTGTGGCAGCACAGCCTCAGAGGTGACTAATGTCTGACAGCTCATTCACCAGAGCTCCTGTGCCCCTCCACACGCCCACAAGCCCAAGACTTACACTGCCATGCCACCAACAAACTCCTCCGTGGCCTGGCAGTAGATTGTGATGGCAACACGGGCATCTGCATCAAAGGTGAACTCCAGGCTGTACAGGACCTTCTGCTTCCCGTTCTCCTCCGTAGGACTGTCAACATCATCTTTATACCTGAAAGACAGTGCCAGAGGATTAAACATTTATGAGATATCACCAAGATCACTCTGGAAATCAGGACAAGAGTACTCCAGACTAGGTGTTTGGGGCAGGCAAGGCACTGTGGGCTTCCACCTCAGGCTTCCCAGGAGATCTCCATTCTTTCCCCTGAGGAAGGTTCTTCCAAGATTTCATGGTGTTGAGGGATCTCACCCAGCCTTACAGTGCCAGGACACAGAATGAGACAAGAAAGGGAAATCTTGAATGTCAAACCCCGAGGAGAAGCAACATTCTCCTTCCATTTAAGTCTTCATATTAGGCTCAGTATTTGGGCTAAAGAAGTCCTGCACGGGCATGAGAAATCTAAAACCTAATTCTTTTAACACTGCAAATGAAATGGTGCCTGACACACAAAAACCCAAGGTTTCTGTAACACAAAGAACTCCTGAAGCTCAACAAAAGATACCTGCAGTATCACACAGATGATGATATTCAGCCTGGAAAGCATCTGGATGTAGGAACTTCAAATACCTTTAAATGTACAAATGATCAACTAGAGCTCTGATGCTGTGAAGGACTGGAGCTTGCACATATTTACTGTCTGAACAAAAATTAACCCATCCAACTGCACAACAGACACACAATAACCAATACAAGAATGAGTTTAGAAGTTATTTCAATTAACACAAAAGTGAGCCATGACTTGGCTGTGGGCTACTGCAAACTGGACCCCATGGTGTGATCACCACTGCCCAGGGTTACTCCTCCCTGCTGCAGGAAAAGGCAGGTCACAAAGCTGGTGAAGAAGGAGGTTTGAAGCAAGATCCAGGGCAGTGAGCTATGGCCACAGGCCAGTGGTGAGTTACAGTGTGCCAGGAGTGGCCAGGGAGACCAGAGATCCTGGAACAAACAGCCAACACAACACACCATAAGATCACAGAATGATAGAATAACCTGAGCTGGGAGGGACCCACAAGGATCACAAGTCCAACTCCCGGCCCTGCACAGGACACTCCAACAATCCCACCCTGTCCCTGAGAGCGTTGTCCAAACATTCCTGGAGCTCTGGCAGCCTTGGGGCTGTGCCCACTGCCCTGAGGAGCCTGGTCAGTGCCCAACCACCCTCTGGGGGAAGAACCTTTTCCTGAGATCCAACCTGAGCCTGCCCTGACACAGCTCCAGCCAGTCCCTTGGGTCCTGTTTCTGCTCACACAGAGCAGAGATCGGAGCTGCCCCTCTGCTGCCCCTCGGGAGGAGCTGCAGATCCCAATGAGGTCTGACTTCCGTCTCCTCCAGCTGAAAACACCAAAATCTCCCTGCCTCAAAAAGCAAAGCAACAGACAAATGGATGTGATTCACTGCCAGGGCAGCACCACATTCTCACACATACATTTAAATCCCAGTGTAACCCCAGGACCACAGGTACCACAGTGAGCTCAGGCACTGTGTGGGAAGGGTGGAGGCAGCAGGTTGACTTTGAGAGGTTTAACAGCACTCAATTCGTCACCCAGCTCCAGCTCCACTTGTTTATTAGTGTACCTTAATTGCCACGATTCCTGGGTCAAAGCCAAGCAGCTGAACTATTCATGAAAAGCTTGGCACTATTTCTGACTTCACAGTATCAGTCAGACTCTCCCCTCATCAAACAGCCTGGATGAATAGGCTGTACTGTCAAAAATACTCAGAAATGTGCCAGGCATACCTCCATAATTCAATCTAAAAATTGTCAAGGGAATCGTTATTTACTGAGTTCACTGACATATAATAACTGCTGCCTAATTAAGAGGGTTCCAGCATGAATTTTACTTAACACCACACAGAACAAGAATTAAATGTTCAGCTTCAGCAATTTAACATAAAAGGTGCAAAATAAAATTTAAGAGCGATATAATCAAATACCCAACACATGTACTTGCACTAATGTAACCCCAGTGAACCACTATAGCTCACACAGCATTCCTGTCTGAAGGGCTTGGAGAGCTCCAAACAAGACTTTTGCCAGAGGTTCACCTAGGTCAGAACAGCAAATCAAGCTAAATACACCCAACATGCCAGTATAAAAAAGACATATCCCCAAAATTGAGAGTTTGAACACCTGCAGCAGCCTGGACGAAATACACAGTACAGAGCAAAATGGTATTTTCACACAAGCTGGTTGCATTCAAAGAATGAAATCATGGCCCTTGAAGGCTGTAAAGAAGAAACAGTCTGGGCAGCAGGGCAGGTTTGCCTGGAGAACACACAGGGGAGCATCAACATTTTGTGCTGGACTGACCCAAGAACACAGATGGCAACAATCCACTCACATGTTGTATGTGTCAAGAAAGCAGCACAAGTTTCTGTGAGTTATCTCTTGCTGCTCTCTCTTCATCTGAGGTCGGCAGAGAAGGATCCAGGCTATGACAGACTTGCCACTTCTTCCAGAAGAAGCAGGGAGGGAAAACCAGTACCCTTGCAGGAAAGCACTGAGGAAAGTGCTTCACAGACCCACCTCATGCACAGGGAGGTTTTAAACAGAGATGCCCAGCACACATGTGAGCTACAGATGGACAACACAGACCAAGGTACCTGTAACAGCCTCAGGTAACCAGGTGGGAGGCCTGGGGTGGGGGCAGAAGCAACATGTCATTAGTACAACCCCTGCCCGTTTCATCTTCTCAGGAAGTCACAAAAAGCATCCCAGATCACCCTCCTGATCTCAGCTCTGCACCTCCCTGCAGGCACTCACAATGTGCTTCTGTCCTTCCAAGGAGAAAAGGGGTTAAACCCAGACTAGAACAGATCTGTTGCCCTGGGAAACCACTGAGGGGCCACTACCAACTGCAGTGCCTGGAGAGAAGGTTCCTGGAGGATACGTGGGGAGTCAGAGAGTCCGAGTCCTGTCTGCCTGGAACAGCATCAGTGGAACAGGGGACAAGGCACACGTCCCTAAATGGTGACAGTCACAGCAAGGCTGTGCTTGTATCTTCCTATCCAACGTCCTGGTGCTGGAGGGTAAGAAAATCATTCACAGCCTTCCAGGACCTGAAGGGAGCCCACAGAAAAAGATGGAGAGAGACTATTAACAAGAGCCTGTAATGACAGGACAAGGGGGACTGGCTTCACACTGACATAGAATAGGTTTAGATGGGATATTAGGAAAAAATTCTTCCCTGTGAGGGTGCTGAGGCCCTGGCACAGGTTGCTCAGAGAAGCTGTGGCTGCCCCAGCCCTGGAAGTATCCAAGGCCAGGCTGGATGGGGCTTGGAGCAACTTGGGCTAGTGGAAGGTGTCCCTGCCCATGGCAGGGGATGAGTTTTAAGGTCCTTCCCAACCCAAACCAGGGTAGCAAAGGCTACTTTGGTGCATACTTTGAGAGGCAGAGACATCTCATGTCCCACCTTAAGGTGCAGGAATGGTGGGATGTAACATCAGGGGAGTAACATGACAAAAATCACACATTCTGCATTCCTTCTTTCTTTGCAAGGGACGTGGCAGACAAGGGGGTGGCTCAGGAGTGGTTCAGGTGCTACAAGATCTCTTCTGTCTCCACCTGCACTTGAAGATTACAGTGGACATTGGGCCAAGCCCTACAGACAGTGTTGATGTGAGGTGGTCACAGATGCATGCACAGTTAGGAACCAGTGACTTTGTTGGGTGTGCCTTTGGGTCATGCACAGAGGTGCATCACAGAGCCTTCACAATCACGTGTAAAGAGCAAAGAGACTGACCACCTTTGGGAACAAAGAGCTGATCCAACGTTTTGATGGAAAAGGCAAAGCAGGATGACCAAGGGAGCCGAGGCCACCCGGTCTGACATCACTCCTGGATAAAACAATGGAAATGCTGGAACTTTTTGTTTGTCTGTTAAAGAATTAAAACATAAACGTATCATTAACAGCAGCCATGACAATTTTTTAGAACTACATTGAGTCGAACACAATTCCAACCTTGGAGGAGATTAAAAAGTTTGGCCAACAGCTTAGTAGACATGTGGGATAAACATTAAGTGTTGCTTGAGTTAGTACTGTGAGATCTGCATCACCCAGTGTTAGAGCAGGGATTAAATAAAGGAAGAACTAGTGACACCCCTATAGCCCTGACTTTCACAGGGGAGATCATCATCAAACTGAGGCTCTACTATTTGGGGGTTCTGCAGAGCTCTGTCCACTTTGACACCCTCCAGGGCTGCAGAGCAGGCAGTCCCAGCCCCTCACCTCCACCATGGGATGAACAGCTCCAAGGATCAAGGTTATCTCTGCTCTGCTGGAGAGGGAAGAGAAGGGATTTCCTTTCTCTCTTTCACAGCAATTCACCTGTCTCCCCTTGGTCCCTCATCCACACTCAATGGTTTCATTACTCTCCGTGATGTTCCTGCTGCTTCAGACCCATTCCCAAGCTGCTGATTCCTTCAACACTTTTGTTCCATGATGCTATACAAATCCCAGAGCCCACACTGAAGCAGAGAGGCTGTCCCACAGTGCAACTTTTCCACAAAACACATTGTGCAACGAGTTGATCTTCCTCCTGCAACTGGAAGTGCTTCCAGGGAAACAGTGAACAGCCAGTACCAGCCCCTCAGGTACTGCAGCTCTGAAATAAAGCTTCTGATCTAAGGCCAAACATGGGACACAAGACAGTCACAAGGAAGTCTTTCTCTGTTAATGCTTAACAGCAAAATTCCCACTACCCTTCTCCAAAGACAGAAAACACATGAGATGTCAAAGACTCAGAACTTCAACACCAATACCCACAGGTTTACTGTTTCTCTCCAAAGCTACTGTAAATATTCAGGATTTGGCAAAGCTCGGAATTTTGTCTGGTCAGAGCTTGGCAGGAAGTCCAGAGTGAACGTTTCCCCATGTTCCTCCATGGCACCTCTCCTATCAGGACAGGCCAAGAGAGTTGGGGTTGTTCAACCTGGAGAAGAGAAGGCTTCAGGGAGACATTAGAGCCCCTTCCAGTGCCTAAAGGGTCTCCAGGAGAGCTGGAGAGGGACTTGGGACAAGGGGCTGGAGTGACAGGACAAGGGGGAATGGCTTCACACTGACATAGAATAGGTTTAGATGGGATATTAGGAAAAAATTCTTCCCTGTGAGGGTGGTGAGGCCCTGGCACAGGTTGCCCAGAGAAGCTGTGGCTGCCCCAGCCCTGGAAGTATCCAAGGCCAGGTTGGATGGGGCTTGGAGCAACTTGGGATAGTGGAAGGTGTCCCTGCCTATGGCAGGGAGTTGGAATGAGATGATCTTTAAGGTCCTTTTCAACTCAAATCATGCTGGGATTCTATGGAAAACCAAAAGCTTGTGAGGACTTTACCATCAGACCCTACCTTACACCTGGACATTCATCTCAGCATCATTTTATTGGGTGGAGGATGTGGTAAATTAAATAGTTCTGGAAAGAATGTGCAAACCTCAACCACTGGTTGTGAAGAAGCCAAGCTGGAGAGGGCACAAAGTGTCCTTATGTGCAGAGAGAGGGGAAGGAAAAGCCTCTAGCCCAGAACAGGAGAAAAGCACAAGACAGAAGGTACCCTTGGGGACTGGCAATTAAAATCCCATTTTGGGTCTACATCAGTGCAAAATTAAATCGAGTCATGCTGGCAGTGTCATTGTCAGCACTGACAGAGCAGCAGCAGCACAAGGGCCTGTGAGAGCCTGTGAGGCAGAAAAAGAACTGACAGTGCCAGGAATTAGATGGATGCAAACCTGCACACTGTCAAGGTGTGTGTTCATTACATTCCAAATAGTCCAGAGCTGCAACTCTGCTTGGGAGAATGGGACGTGCGACCACAGAAAGCAGAATGGCAGGACTACATGTAATAAACCTCAACAACTGCTCCTTTCACAGCAAGGCCACTCCCAGGGAAAAAGTCACTTCCCATTTGGCTTCTGAGAGATGTTACACTGCTAATGTGGATGCCTGCAGGGAGAACCAAATAGCCTTTCCATTGCAAGTGTGTGAGGAAAGCAACTTTTTCCTAGAGAAGTACTTCACCCCTCAGCTCAAAAACCAGACAACATTCAGTGCTGTTTATCAATAGTTACTTTTTTGGAAGTTCTTCCCTCTTTTCCTGTTCAATCAGTTTTGGAACCACAGGTTCTGCTCATTAAAAAAACAAACAAAAAAACCCCAACAAACCAAAACAAAACCATCCTTGAGTTTTCACATAAAACCAAGCTGAGGGGTTTGTGTGGTTATGACTCAAACTGCTCACGTTACATCCACGCTCCCAGAGCCACCTTGGCCGGGAGCTGCAGCTGGAGCCCTGCCAGAGCTCCAGCCCTGAGCCTGGAACGCACAATCCAGTGCGACTCCAGGATGGTTGGGAAATGCTCTGCCTGGACACGTGCCCAGTGCTCAGACCCAAACAAAGCACTGTATGCTGGGCCCTGCACCTCAGCCATCTGTTGGAAAGGGGGCAGCTGTGGATCCCAGCATGAGCCAGCGTTTAATCCAGCTATGCTGGTTTGGATCTCGGTGTGGAGCAGTGAGAGGTAACAGATCTCCATGACTTATCCAGACCTCCTCCCCCTGTGCAAGGGACACAAGCCACCTAAACAACACTGGGACCAAACTTTATCTTGGCAGCAGGAGAAACCTGAGGAAGTTTCACTCTAGACCAATCAATCTTCCTGGCCTGTGGCTCACTTCAGAACCAGCTCCTTTCTGTCTTCTTCTTACACAGGAATGCAGGAAGTAATCTGTCTGTAGGGTTTATTGACCTGACTAATATCTTCCATTCTGATTTCAGGGCTTTGTTTACCACTCCACTCTGTCCTGCAAAGACAGACACCTCACTGGTCCTGTTTGGAAACACAGATTGTTTGGATAAGGAGCACATAAACCACTTGAAAGCTCCAATCACAACGGAATGCAGGAACCTCTGGACATATTTAGCAACAAGGATCTGGAAGTCAGCTATTCTCCAAAATCTTATCAATACATTTTGGCTCTGGGTTGAATAAAGTGAAAGGTTCAGGCAATGTTGGTACCTCACAAGTCGGAGAGAGTCCTTGCGGATATTCACCAAACTCCTCAGCGTCTTCACTGGCTCATGTGGAGCTGGAGTTACATAGGGAAACTGGAACAAAAAGGCAAATAATTCTCCTGTTATTATACTATAAAAGGTAGCAGCATGTTGCCTGGCATGCAATTTACCCAAATCAAGAAGCGTCCAGCTTTCAGGGTACTCGGTACAGCAGAAGGAATAGCAATAGCAAATTCTATTTACAGATTGTGGTGGGTTTCTGTGGCTGGGTTTTGGTAGTGGGGGGTGGCTACAGGGGTGGCTTCTTTTAGAAGCTGCTAGAAACTTCCCCTGTCCCGTGGAGCCAATGCCAGCCGGCTCCAGGACGGATTTCCTGCCGCTGGCCAAGGCTGAGCCAGTCAGGAGCAACGGTAACACCTCTGGGATAACATATTTAGGAACAGAAGGTTGTTGCGCAGAAAGAATTCCAGCCAGGGAAGAGCGGAGTGAGAACATGGGAATGACAATGTAGACACCAAGGTCAGTGCAGAAGGAAGGGCAGGAGGTGCTCCAGGCATCAATCACAGCTGTAGCCCCTGTGGCCTGTGGTGCAGAGCAGGGTGGGGCAGCTGTGCCCCTGCAGCCCATGGGGGAGCATTGGGGTGCAGAGACCCCCCTGCAGCCCATGGGGGAGCCCAGGCTGGAGCAGGTGGATGCAGGAAGGAGGCTGTGACCCCGTGGCAGGCTCAGGATGGAGCAGGTGGATGCAGGAAGGAGGCCGTGACCCCGTGGGAAGCCCAAGATGGAGCAGGGTCCTGGCAGGGGCCAGCAGCCCATGGAGAGGGAAGCCCAGGCTGGAGCAGGTTTTTCCCAGGTAGGACTCGTGGCCCCTGTGGGGGACCCACATCAGTACAGCTCATCCGTGAGGGACTGACCCCATGGAGTTTGGGAAGAACTGCTGCCCAAGGGATGGACTCATGCCAGAGAGGTCCATCCAGGACTGTCCCACGGGAGCAGGGGAAGGAATCCTCTCCCTGAGCAGCGGCAGAAACAACAACTGACCATAACCCCCATTCCATAACCCCCATTCCATAACCCCCATTCCATAACCCCCATTCCCCGTCCCCTGCACCTCTGGGGGGGGGAGGGAGAACATGGAAGGAAGGAGGGGTGGGGGGAAGGTGTTTTTAAGACTGTTTTATTTCTCACTCTTTGGCTCTTATCCTGTTAGGAATAAATTTAAGTGCTATCCCCACTTGGAGTCTGTTTTGCCCATGAAGGTGATCAGTCACTGACCTCTCCCAGCTCTCATCTCTACTCATGAATCCTTAGCTGTATTTTTTTCCTCTCCCCTCTGTCCAGTTGCAGAGGGAGAGAGCAGCTTTAGTGGGTACCTGGCATCTGGCCAGGGTCAACTCGCTACACAGATAAACCAAGCATTTTTCAGGATGAAAATTCTGCCCTGGCCCAGCAATTGGGAGCACACATTTTAAGAAAGAGCATTTTCACAAGCTCTTGTTCTGCACCCTGAATTCCCAGTCAGGAAAGCACTGCCCTCACAAGCTTTTGTTTCCACTAAAGAAACCACCTGCAGCTTGAGCAGAAGAAATGCAGCTCTTTCATGTGTGTTACAGCATGCAAACAGTGATCTGACTGCTAATCAGCCCGGAGAAGCCCTGGAGTACTGGGGGAAACTCTTTCTATTCTGAAACAATGGGGCAAATGTTCTGCAGAAGAAAAGAGACAGGGATAGGGGGCCTCTTTCCATTCTACAGTCAAGAAACCTTCTCTCACAGATTGTCCTTTAAATAGGGACATTATTGCTTCAGACTGTAATTCTCCCTACAGGGCACAGAATCTCTGGTGGGAAATGCAAAGGAACTGCTTGTTGTGGTGATCACAACCTGTACAGCTCCAGACCTGCCTGCTGGGGCCCAGGGACCACCAACACACATTTCTTTAGAAATGAGGAGGCAAGTACTCCCTTACTCCAAAGCAAGAAATGGGCCCACATCCAGAAAACAGTTTTGCTGCTCTGTGTTCAAGTGTGGGTTTTTTTTTTCCTTGAAGATTAATCAGAGCTGCCAAAGGGCTTTAACTTTACATAGGCAAACTATATTCCACAACAGGTTCCTCTTAAACCTACTTGGCAAACATCCCATGGTGTTAATGGCATCTCACACACTCCCCTCTGGAGAAGTGATGAAATTCAGTGCTGGGATGTCAGCAAGGAAACCCACGCTGAGACATGCAGGTAATTTAACCCTGCAGAGTCAGTCCCTGCAGCCACAGGCACTGCACAGGGGATGTGTGAGCACCCCCAGGCCTGCATGGCACTGATACATCCAGAACAATTTCCAGCTTCAATTTCCCTCCTTGCTAATTCTCTTGCCCAACTACACTTCCTGCTTGAACAACGACTTTTCCAGGTTCTTCCTTGTCCTGCCCTGCAGAGTCCTGGTAACTGCCTGTGGTGCTGAGAAGACCAATGACACAGCCTGAAGGGGAACTCAGAAAGCAGAATGTTCTTGTCACTGTTCCAATTCAAACTCTGAGTCATCTTGCCTCAGTTTCCCCCACCTGTAAAACCAGAGTGACCCCAAACTGCCTCTGAGCACTACAAACATAAACTAAACAATGGTCACGGCTTTTCTGAGGAGAACCACAACTACAATTTTTCATTTCCATGTTTTGAAGTTGCAGAAACAAAGCAAGCAGTTCTTTTCCCTTTCCTCTCCAGCACTCTGCAAACAACTCCAAACTGCTCCTACTCTGTTACCTTCTGGTTCTTTTTAAAAGCAGTTCTGAGAGGCAAGAGAAATCCAAAACATAACACCTGCATGAACTCCTATCTGTCCTTCACAATGGTGCTATGCCTTTGTTCAAGAACAAGCACTTGAGCAAGCAGCTTTTCACAGTCTCACAGACATCTGTGGACACAGAAATACCTCTGTGTTCCACCTGGGAAAACTAAAGGAGAGAAGGAGAGACTTTCTGAAAGTCACAAAGTTACAAAGCAAACTAAAACACACCAAATATCAAGATTTGTCTTAACCCTGCCCTGTACCCAGTCAGGCCACTCATTTAGGAAAAGAACAGCACATGCTGAACACTGGCTGCAAGCCAATTCAATATGCCCAGGAGCTTTGGGAAGTTCAGGCTCTGAGGGTGGATCTGCTTCCCAGCCTTCTCTACAGCCTGTTTTACACTTGCTCAGGCAGGCAGGCAGAATAAGTCTCAAATTCTGTGCTCCTGAGTCCCTGTCCTTCTTCCCCCACTTGCTAATTCCTTCTGTCCTAAGTGAAAATAAGCCTAGAAGGGGAATATTGCTTAGGAAAACTCAGCTTGGATCTGAACAGACTGGAATGACACTCCCCAAGCAGCATGGACCCCCTTAGGTCTGTGCCATCCTCCTCTACAAGCCCTACAAGGTTTTCCAAAACAGGCAGGAAACAGAAGAGTAAAACAGAACACAGGGACTTGCCTGAACAGGTCTATTCCCGAGGAAGTTCAGATCCATGTTCTCACCAAAAAGGTAGCCCTCGGGGTGAGGGGTGTCAAACTTCTCACCTCCCATAAAGAAGTGACTTGCAAAGTAGTTTCCTAGAAAAAAAAGCAAAACACAAGGAAATTAAAACAATAACAAAACAAACAAACAAACAAACAAACCACCCCCCAAGTTTAAAATGAGTGGTGCTTCCCAGATAAGTCTGTACAGTTTTTAATCCACAAGTATAAAAGAGCACAAGACACAGAAAATACTTGCTAATTCAGTCTTTCCCTGTACTACTGAGGGCCACTGCCAACAGTAGGAGCAGGGGAATAAACAAAACAAAACAAAAACCTGGAATAAATCATTACAGTGGAGATAATTCCATTTTAACTTGTTTTCCAGAGAAGGGGCAGGGAGCAGTAAGAGACAGCTCCTTCCAATATTGCTCCATTCTGATGAATTCTTCCTGTTTTCTCCACTTTCCAGTGTAAAGCTCAGTCCCACAAACACCATCAACCTGCTCAGAGAAGGATGAGGGTTCTTCCCACTGCAAAGCCTGGCACAGCCAGAGGGGCTCCTTCCCTCCCCTCTTTCACTGCCATATCCCAGGCAAGAACCACACAAAACCTTCACACCCTGATGCTGAATTTAATTAATAACACTATCAGCTCTAAATGCAGAAACATGAATTTCTGGAAGAGATACACAGGGACTAATTAAAGGGAACTTCAGCTCTGAAAGTTCCACCACGAATTCGTTTAATTCATCTCTAAGGTGATGCACTAAGGTTCAAATTTCAGGAGATGAAGTGTGTGCAAGGTCACTGGGATTCCAGAGCACTGGATTAACTCCAAAGCCAACAGAATCAACTCAGGTGCATGAGAGCACCACAAACGCAGCTTCCTCCTAGAAAGACTCCAGGAAAGCACTCTCAAACATGAACTTCACAGAGCTACAATTTCAGAGACATGAGTATCAGGAGAGAACTAAAATAAAAGCCTGCATCCAAGTCACTTCCCTTCAAGTTTCAGAGCGGGGGATAAGAGAACTGAGCCACATGTACATTCACTTCCCTGGGTGCAGTGCACAGACAGCATAAATCTGTGCTCAAATGAGCCATTCCAGAAGCAGTAACTAATCATCTGAGTGGCTGTGGAGGCACTCTGGGGGGATTTGCAGTCCCTCTAGGCAGGAGCAAGCATGATTACTCTGAAATGGAAGCATTTCCATGAATGGCTCTGTTTTTTCCATTAAGGCTTTTTTCCTTTATGCTTCAAGAAAGGCACAGATGGCAGGGCCCTAATGACGACAGTAGTGCTCAGCTTTGCTGAGCTCAGCTTACAAGCATCCAGATGTTTGTAGTGCTGAAACACAGTCCTTCTTTCCAGTACAACAATCACCTTCAGCACAGGTCCACAACCCACTTAGAATCAGACCTACAGAGTCAGAATAACAAAATCACAGAATCACTGAGCTTGGAAAAGACTTCTAAGGATCATCGAGTCCAACCTTCGACCGATCACCACCTTGTCAACCAGACCAGAGCACTGAGTGCCACATCTGGTCGTTCCTTGAACACAAATGCAGGTGTTTCAAACCACAGGGAATCTTTTCCCACCCCTCCCAGAAGCAACAAATTAAAAAGCTGATCTGCATATAATCTCCAAGCACAGCCAGCCTGACACAGCCTCTCCAGCTGAGATACACCACAGTGGTTTATGCTCACACCGGTTCTGAAGAGCACGAGGGACGCTGGGGGTTAGGAATAGATTTCACATTTTATGTGGGTCAAAGTAGCATTATGTTTTGGAACATTTTATTTGATTAACTGTGAGGACAAGGCTTGTGCAGGATGTCTCAGTACCACAGCAGCTGGTTATCTGGGATCAGACTTGGAGAACTCCCTCATATCCATTGAATGAGACAGAAACAGAGAATCACAGAAGGGTCTGGGTTGGTAGGGACCTTAAAGCCCATCTTGTTCTACTCCCTGCTATAGGCAGGGATACCTTCCACTAGCCCAGGTTGCTCCAATTCCCATCCAACCTGGCCTGGACACTTCCAGGACCGGGGCAGCCACAGCTTCTCTGGGCAACCTGTGCCAGGGCCTCACCACCCTCACAGGGAGGAATTTTTTCACAAATATCTAATCTAAACTTACTCTGTGTCATTGTGAAGCCATTTCCCCTTGTCCAGTCACTCCAGGCTCTTGCAAAAAGTTCCTCTCCATCTTTCCCATAGGCTCCCTTCAGGTCCTGGAAGGCCTCAATTAGGTCACTCCAGAGCCTTCTCTTCTCCAGGCTGAACAATCCCAATTTTCCCAGCCTTTCCTCCCAGCAGAGCTGCTCCATCCCCCTGATCATCTTGGTGCCTCCTCTGGACTCACTCCAACAGCTCCCTATCCTTCCTGTGCTGGGACCCCAGCGCTGGAGCAGCACTGCAGGTGGGGTCTCACCTGAGCAGGGCAGAGGGGCAGAATCTCACCCTCCTCTGCTGCCCACGCTGTGGGATGAGCCCAGGATATGGTTTCAGTGCATCTCCAGGCAGCCTCTCCAGCACCTTGGGATGAAAAGGTCTCTCCTGTATAACTGGAACAACATCCAGACACAAAACTAGCATGTTTAAGTCACCTGCCACACTGTCATTGTTCCACTAAGAACTACTTTAGGGATCTCTAACAAATTGTTAGGAGTTTTCACAAATACACTCTCCAACACAGCAACTGGAAACCACAGCTGCAGTTCCACGTTCAGACTGAACCTCTTTTCATCTTCTAAGTCACCTCCTTCAACGTGAAGGATGTTGTTTTTTTTTCCCCAGAGGCACTTCCCTCAAAAGCAAACAAGAAATGCAGTCAGTGCCAGCCACAAAGAGCACAGGGAAAATCACTCCGAGAGCTCCTGGTGAGCAGAACAACCCCTGGGCTCTGCCAGGGCCCCTGTACAACACAAAACCTGTCACGAGCTCAAGGTCTCAACAGCCAAACTAACGGACCAGAATGGCAGCAAACTGTCTCCACAAATTTCTAAGACGGTTTTCAGCAGCTAAAAAAAAGATATTCTATTGCAAGCTTTCAGAAACCAGTTGCTACAACAAGACACGAAGTTCAGAGCTCTTAAGGTAAGTCTAAAGTTATGCATTAATCCTCTCAACCACTGTCACAAGCAACTCACAGTTTGCCCAAGTTGAAGACAAAACACTTTAAGGAAGCACTTCTGTAAATATCACATGAAGGACTAAAAGGAAAAGGAAAATTTGAGACAGAAAATATGAGGCATCCTCTTTTCCGGTCACTGAGACATCCACACATTTAGGATTTTTAGTGTCTCTAAAAAGCTTGTATTTATTTTCTATGCATTAGAATCCTGCTGCAGCTCCACCTCTAGGTTCCATTTCCAAATCCACTACAAAGACAGCTTTAGGATTTTAGCCAGGCTGCCACACCTCTTGAACCCTGTTCCCACAAGTCCCCTCAGCCTATAAAACCACCTTGACCTATCTTAGGCAGGTGTTGCAAGGCCAGCTTTACACAGAGCTCTGTAGCTATGGGCAGAAGGGGGATGCAAAGTGCCATCCTCTTTGGCAGGAAAAAAAGAAAAGCAAAAAATCCTCGGATTAACCCTCCACAGAATTGCTACAAATCCTCCAGGAAAATGCAGCGACACACTTACCAGGAGAAGAATCATACATAAATAAACAAGGATGGAATAGGATAAAAATGCCAGAGCAAAAAATAACTGTGGCTTTAGTTCCCCAGAGTAAATCAGGACAGAACACAGGGGAGCATCAGATAAAAGAGAACAGGAATGGGTGACACTGCTGAGGTCCAAGCAGTGGTTTTAAGAGAAATTATGGTGGAAAACTTTACAGTGGCTGGAAAAACAGCACTGGGACACCCAGAATGGTCAAGTCTGACTCAATAGTTTGTCCCATGCAAAACCAAACTGGAACCCCAGGCTCCTCCTTGATGCCCATCAAATGACACCAAAATAGTGAATATTTATTACCACATAGTGGTGGGGGTTTATTATCATAAAGGCACCAGCATTAAGCACCAGACTGCTCCAGTCACAATTACCTCTCCCTAACCCAGCATCCTAATCCCACGTTCATGCAACCCCAACACATGGCTGTGATACAGGAGTGACACAACACCCTACAAGAACCAGGAGCACAGAGTCGACAGCACAACTGTAACCTCAGCAAAACACGGGCTGAGTCGCACAACCTTCATTAAGAGAAAGCAATTAATGTCCATTTAGGCTTCTCACCATGAATACAATTAACAGTGAAGTGACAGAAATTGAGTTCCTTTTAATTACTCAGCCAGACACTCCACCACAGCACGCCGAGGGAGGGACTGTCAGGCACAGCCTGAACCAAGATCCTGGTTGGATGAGGCCATCCCACCTTCCCCACCACCCATCCCTGCTGGGCCACCAAAAGCCACCACGTAGCAAACAGGAATGTGGCTCTGAGCTGAGATAAATATCATCCAGCAACAAACTTGTAGCAAAATCAACTGGCTCTGGTCCACGAGCGCTTCAGTGTGGTGCTCAGGAGGAGCTGGGGAGAAGGCAGGAGGGAATGTCCCGGTCAGTGGCAGGTGGTGGTGGCTGTCACCAGCTCCAGGACACAGCAGGAGTAATGGAGAGACTACTCCACATGCTCTGGGGAGAGAGTGAGGAACAACAGCTCTGTGTGAAATACAGGGACGTGTTCCTGTTGTGACAATGTCACAGCACACATGGCTCATGAGCCGGGAACAAGGTGATGGACTCCGGGTATTCCTCTCCTATTTAAAACTGCTCCTTCTTTGATTAAAGCCTCATTCCCAAATAACACACCAGTTCAGCTTCAGAGAGGAGTAATCTCCTTTTTTTCCCCTCCCAAAAATCTCCAGGGAATACTCTTCCAAGAGCTTACTCCAGAGGAGAAGAGGCATCCCAAGGGCAGATGCTCCTTGTCCCGCTCCAGGCTGCAGAGGAGCTCAGTGGAACAGGAGTGGAGCTCTTGAAGGAGCTGTGGGAAGCACTGGTGCATTGCTCACTGGTTCTAAAGGCATGTGATACCATATGCACAAACATGGATCCTTTCACTGCCTCAAGCACAGAAGCACGATGGAGATCATGACTGTTCCTTGCTAAAAGGGCAAAAAATTACCCATTTTTAGCCCGTTTCATGGAGGCTCTTACTCTTCTGTACAAAGTGAGCCCTTCTTCCAAATGGTCAGGCAGGCACAACGCCAGCACCGGCTCCACAAAGCAAGAAATTCTGGTTAAAAGGTACCAGAAAAGAGGGCTCAGAGAAGGGCCACAGCAGCCTCAGCCATCCTGATGCAAGAGGGTGTGTGCTGACGATCCACACCCAGAGCCTTGAAGGAATAAGCAGGGCATTTTCAGAGGATTTTTGACTATAGAACTGCATACAACTTGCAACAAAGCTGTCACACGACCTGTGGATGCCTCACTGGGGACTCTGGCTCATACAGACCAAAGTGGATTCCACACCAATCTGCTCAATGCTCCCCAGAGCACGTGACTGACCCGGCAACGACCACATCAAAAGTCAATAAAGGAGAAGTGAATATTCACCTCTGCCTTTGCCACCAGCTGTGACTCAACAAGGTGCCGTCACTTGGAACCACCTGGTACAGTCACCGTGTTCCTTTCCACAGGCAGGTTGGCAGAATTACAGCCAGAATACCTGTGTTTAGGGTTTATTTCCTTGTACAACGTGTTCTTCTTGCGAGGGGGTGTGTTTGCACCCAGCAGCTGATCAGGCATTCACGGTAAGTCGAGACCTGCTCAAACCAGAGACTTGGAGAGACAGAACGGAAAAGGTGAGGGACAACCCTCAGTGATGCACAGGGCTCCAGAGGATGGGTGACCTCAGGGAATGCTCTCTCACCACACCTTCCAGCTTTCCAGACGTAATCTCAAAGCCAGGAGTGTGTGCCAGGCAATGGAAAACTGGCTTCTTCCAGTCAGGGCTCACAGCGACAGTGTCGAGTTAGAAATCATTAGCGACCATTTGGCCTGAGAACATTTTGTACTGCTTCCAGCTTGCTTCCCAAAATCAAACAGAACCATACTCGCTCACTCCCAGTCATCCTCACTGTCAGGCTTTGCACCAGCCATAACCAACCTTTCCAGCTCCAAGACAAACACACTCAGGACCAGAAGGGACAGTATCCTTCTGAGGAAGGGAGGGGAGCTGCCATCCTACACAGCCCTCACTGTTCTGGGCTTTGAATCTCCACCTCAGAAGTGTTCACAACCTCTTCCTCTGCCTAGAACCATCCTGAGCTTGAACAGCTCTTCTCCCTCCCCAAAGTCAAGACGATCCTTGTTAGATAAACTTGAAGAAGGCAAAAGAGAAAGAAAGCCCTGGCTTAACACCAGCTTTCAGAGGGAGCATGACTAAGTGCCACAGAGAATTAATTAACAAGCCTCTAATTGTATCCAGAGCCTTTGAATGAAATAGCAATATTTTTATTGAATCAGCTGCTTGAAAGCATTGGCTGTTCCGTGTTACAAGGGAGGTATCACACGTAGAACAGTTTTTGGCAGCATTACAGTCAACAGACCCCTTCCAGGATGCACAGGAACATAAAACCCAACCTCAGGTGTGTGATGGGGTTACCCTGACAAGCCCAACACATCATTAACTTCTAGTCCAGGTAAATATAGCAGCACAGAAACAACAGGAAGATGATGTGAAAGAAGCAGTTTAATGTCCATTGCATATGGTGGTTACAACTAATCCACTCCATATCTAAAATTCTGTCACGTGCAGATCCTGCTGCAGCCAAACAGCCAAATGACATTTGCCTTTCCCTGCAGCCTGAAAAACTAGTTCCCAACCCCCTAAAAAATCAGGTTGTATTTTCTAAGAGATACAACACAGCTGTAGGATTTTTTCTGGGCAGGCTTCCCCCCTTCCATCTCCTCCACACCACCATTCCTGCTGCAGGCAGCAACCTGCCACAAAACAAGGTGTAACAATGGCAGGACTCTGACATGACCCTGCACCCCCTCCAAAGCAAGCAGGGTCCTGGCTGTGTCCATCACACAGCCCTGAGGATGTCACAGCCAGCAAGTCATGGGACACACGCAGGACTCGAACCTCTGAGCAAAAAGTCTTTGTACCTGTGAGTGAGGGGACCCAAAATGCTACTCTGCAAATTCTCCAGCCTGCCTGGAAAAGCCCTAGCAGAACAGAAACTTAGAATAATTTATAAGTAAATAAACACTGTAAGGGGAAAAAGCACCCGAATTTCCCTGATGACTCATTTTGTGAGAAGTAAAACTCTTCAAACAAGTTAAATCTGGCCAATTTCAAAAGTCACCCCCAGACAAGGTGGGTCACGGGCCCACCAGTGGCACTGACAACTCTCCAAGCTTTTAGGACAATTCCCTGTGGAAAACAGACACCCACTAGGCCGTGTCGTCCCAGGTCTCTCCCAGGTGAGAGCCACTGCCATTCTAAGGAGTTAAAGGGGGTTGTCATGCCGGAATTTTTCATCCTATGTTCCACCAGACCCAGTTTTGTTCCGTGTCCCCATCGAACTCCGCCGTCGCTTCCCCTTCACCAGCAGCAGCCGCCGCGCTCGCCACTGACCGACAACCTGCTCCAGCCGCATTCCCAGAGAATTCCCAGCGTGGGGAGCAGAGCCCTGTGCACCCCCAGTGACCCCCCCAGCACCACGGGGGACCCCAGGGCTGCGCCGGGCGGGCACGGGCAGAGGGACGGGCACTGCTGACCCCGGGTCCGGGGCACGGGGCCCTCCTGCCCCTCACACCGACCCGCACCGGGCACACGCGGCCCCGGCCCCGGCCCCGTCCCCGGCCCACGGAGCTCCATCCACGGCCTCTCCGCCGGGGAGGTCCCGCAGGGCCCGGGGCAGAGCCAGAGCCATCCCGGGCTGGTGACAGCCGCTCCCGCAGCGCCTTCCGCGGCTGTCCCGCTCGGCCCGGGGGGCACCGGGCCCGGCCCGGCCCCCATCCCCGGTCCCCATCCCCGGCCCCCGCGGCCCTCACCGGACTTGGGCGGGTAGCGATAGGCCGAGTTGGCCTGGATGTCGATGTCCTCCACGCCCGCGATGCGGCGGCTGAGCAGGGAGCCCATGGCGGCCGCGGCGCGGGGGGCGCAGAGCGGCGGCACCGGGGGCGGCACCGGGACCCGCACCGGGACCCGCACCCACGGCGGCGGCGCGGGGCACGCCGGGACTGCGAGTCCAACCGCGCCCGGACTACAGCTCCCGGCAGGCACCGCGCCGGCGGGACCAACCGCGGGGGGGGACGAACCGCGGAACGTACCAAGGGCGGCGAGGAGGGGGGAGCGCGGGTGCCCCGCTGGGAGGGGGACGCTAAGGAGGCACCGGGATGAGATGGGATGGGATGGGATGGGAGGGGATGCAAAGGAGAGGAGAGAGGAGGGGATGAGGAAGGGATGGGGTGAGGTAGGGTGGGATAGGATGGGATGGGAAGGGGCTGGGGATGGGCTGGGGGTGGGAAGGGGAACAGGGGTGGGAATGGGGATGGGATAGGGGTGGGAATGGGAGTGAGAATGGGGGTGGGATGGGAACAGGAAGGGGCCTGGGGATGAACACAGGGCACCCTGGATGGGGAGGGACACAGGGATGGACCCGGGGATGGGCACAGAGAATACCAGGGACACACCTTGGATGGGGAAGCCCTTGGGAGCTTGGCCAGGGATGCACAGAGAGGATGCTCAAGGACACATTCTGTACAGGGATGCCCAGGGAAGATGGATGCCCAGGGAAGATGGATGCCCAGGGAGCTTGCACAGGGATGCATGGGGGGGAATGCCCATGGGAGATGCCCAGGGACACATCCTGCACAAGGAAGATGCCCAGGGAGACACACCTTGCAGAGGGATGCCCAGGAACACACCCTGTGCAGGGATGCACAGAGTGTCCATGCTGGGATGGAGGTGTGCATGGAGCCTGCAGATCCTGTGGGCCAGCTGGGGTAGCCATGTTCCTCCTGGGAAGTTTGGCATGGGAATCCATTATCCAGGCCAGTTCCCAGAGGTGGGACCTGCTCCTGGCTGAGGCTCAAAGCCAGCAGGAGAAGAGGCGATTGGCCTCCCACGCTGCAAGACCTTGTGACATTCCCACAGGGAAACCTCTCCTGTGTTCTTCCCCTCACAGATAATCCATGCAGGAAAGAAAACAGAGATGTCTGAGGCTTGGATGTGAGAGCAGGGGATGACTGGGCTGACACACCATCCCGGAGGATGGCATGGAGGAGGAGGCATAAAAGAGCCACCAATGTCCCAACACTGAGTCCTGTCCCCTCTGGCACCAGGGATCAGGGATAAGCTCCCCAGGCTCGGCTTGTGAAGGGAGGCACCTTCCTGCACAGGTTCTGCAAAGAACTGAGGACCCAAATTCTAAATCCCAGGGAGACATGAAGGAGCAGGGATGGCACGTGTGAAATGTCTTCAACTGGCCTCAGGAGCAGGGGAATAGGAGAGGGCTGGGACACAGGGAGAGGAGACAGGGCAGGGAGCAGAGCCTGCCAGCACAGGAGCATTTTGTGATAGCGAGTGAGCGGGCGGTGGGTGGAATTTGCTGGCTGTAAACACAAACTAAAACACACCCAGCGGGAATAAGCAAACAACCTCGAAGGGAAACGTGCTTCCAGATAGTTATTACCCTTGCAGCTGCTCTGGCCACCCCGAGTATGGCCAATACAAGGAGCCATACAGGGCACAGGATGTCAGGGGAACAGGCACTGGGGGTGAGCACAGAGCAGGACCAGACCTCACTCTGCTGCATCCCGTTGTGCAGCAGGGTTGGCAAGGACAGGGAAAAGCACAGAATTAGCAACCAGTCCTGTTGGCCAGCCATGAAAACTGGGTACCTCACACCTGGCACAGGGAGCCTTGGCAGTAACTGTGCCGGGGTGCTGCCTGCTGTGTCCCCCAGGATCCTGCTGGCACCCAGAGAAACAGCACCTCTTGCTCAACCAGCCTCTCCCTGCAAGGGTTTCTCGTGACAGAAGTTGCACAGAGAGGGAGGGGAGGGATGGAGTCTGCTGACCCACACGGTGACACTCAGCCTGTGTGTGCTGCCCTGGAGCTGTCTGGCTGCTCTGTGCCTGCACAGCCACCAGTGATGCTCCTCAGGGATGGGAACAAGCCCCCTGGCAGCAGCGGGGTGACAGGAATAGCTTGTGTGCCACCAGCAGCCCCAACCCAGAAGGGTGAATCCATAACCCCCCAAGGCCTCACTCTGCAGCTTATCTGGGGCTCAGTGCTGGAGCAGATCTGGCACAGCAAGGATCTCCATCTCCCCATGCCATGCTGGGGTCTGTTTGCCAGCTGGCAGCCAGCTGGCCATGAGCCTGGGGGCAAAGCTGAGCCGTGTTCGCACCATGAGGCAAGGCAAGGATGGGAATTTGCACAGGGACAGAAGATGAGGGTCCTTCGCCCTTCCCTCCCACATCCTGAGCACCAAGAGCATCCTGCTCTTCCCCAGCCCAGTGAGGCACCCGGAGGGAACTGCTCCAAATCTCTTCCCTGAGTTTTTTGGGGGACAAAATCACAGAATTCTAGAACATTTTGGGTTGGAAGGGACCTCAAAGATCACTTAGTTCCAACCCCCAGCCCTGTTCTCTCTGCAGCTGCCCACCAGGAGCCATATGGGTGAAGCAGGGAAGCCAAGAGCAGAGCCAGGTCCCGCAGCACTGGGCTGTGGGGTGGCAGCTCTGCCCGGGAAGCTGCGCCAGGAGGGTTTTGTTCGTGCAAAACCTCCACCAGCGGGAAGGTCCCTCCCGGGCCACTCCGAGAAAGCCCTAGGGCCCCGAGGGCGTTGCTGCCATCTGGGAGGGCAGGGGCTTTCGCTGGAGAATATCCCCTGCGGGGCCCTGCTCTGTGAGATGCGTGTGAGAGA